ATGAATGCGGGGATCCCTGAAGATTATTGTTTCCGTTTGTTTTAGCATATGTTACATAGGACCAGGGTTTCAGTTGATATACATACAAATGTATGTACCTATACCCAGATGTTATGTACATATATACTCGTGTATTTGGTATCTATCTTCGCAAAATGCAAATAGAGGTGGTATAAGTTAATACTATTGTACTCAAACAGTTAAGCGTTAATTGTACTAACTAAAATAATAATTTTATTAGATTTACATTAATGATTTTACTTCATACTCGTACTTTTGCCGCGTTAACGTTTATGAGTTCTGCAGACGAACTCAGCCACGACAGCAGAATATACTCGTAGAAGATTCTACGACTCTCGCTCTTTGTTTACGCTACTTCTGTTTTTAGTGAATTATAAAACGGTGCTAACTTCTGTTTTAATGCACAGCAAAAGCATTTTGTTTATTGGGATATAAAATTTTATAGCTTATTATTCTCGCATAATTGACATTAAAAACGGGTAGTTGTTTTTAAAAAATATTTAATACTTGTAAATATATTTAATGACTAGCGACTCACCCTCGCTTCGCTCGAGTTCGCTAGGGTATGTACCTATGCAACTTCCCTATTTGAATCGAATATAATTAAATTTTTCATTGGTTTTAAATTTTTTTCGTGGGACCCTATTTTTTTGTAAAATAAAAGTAGCCTAAGTTACTCCATAATACATAAGCTATCTGTCAGTGAAAGTCCCGCCAAAATCGGTCCAGCCATTTCAGATATTAGCCGGAACAAACAGACAGACAGACAAAAATAAAAAAAAAATGTTGTTTTGGTATATGTAGGTACCGTGTATACATCCATATGCATTTAGTAAAAAGCTGTTATTTTGACTATTTTGACATTACAAACAGACACTTCAATTTTGTTTATTTATTATAATATACAACCAGTAAGTCCTTTTGGTGGATAATATATTTATTTCGTGGTTTTTAAACGTGCCCTATGTGCAGTATCCTTAATACGCAAATGTCGCGAGAATAAACGATATGAGATATTCTACAATGAGATTATATTACATGGGAAAATAATTGCTAAATCTTTAACCTACATCAAACACGACGTCAGGTTTAGTTTTTTTACTTCTCAAACAAATCTATACTTATAATAAAATTCTAACTGAGTCGAATCTGTACATTAAATATTTTTTGGAAAATCTTATTATTATCGATACAGAGACCGAATCTATAGTTTTAGAGTGTTTTTATCTACCTGGGAACGCATCACGAGAAAACCACTGGACAGATTTTGATGAAATTTAACATGATGATAACTGTTTATCTGGGTCAACATATAGGATACTTTTTACTGCGGGAAAATATCTCGTCTCTGAGAAATCTATACTAAACGTTTAAACATAAGGGACGAACCTGAACGGGCGAGGGTGAGTCGCTAGTTTTAATATAAGTAAAGAAATTAATATTATCCACTAACTATTTTGTAGTCTTTATATGTATATTTTTCTAAAAAAACTTATGTTTAAAATAAGACAAATTCTTTTCATAATAACGTCAAAACTTACTTAGGGACGATTCCGAGCAGAGCGAGGGTGAGTCGCTGTTATAATATAAAGTCAGAGCCGTGTGCCAACTTCCTCTTCAGAAAACGACCAGATTTGTTTTCATACTGGGATTTAAATTTTTAACAGCATGCTTAAAGTTTCGCACTTGTCCTCTGGGAATATGGAGAGTTAGAAATATCTCCAAGAATTATAAAAATTGTAATTTCTTATACTTAAAAATCTAAAATAATAGATAGTCTAAATGAATACTAATAATGACAATTTAATATGATTTATATGAAATGCTTTAGTTATTTACTTTGAACTACTTTAGTTTATTTCCTTCCTTATAAAAAATCTTTTTTATAAGTTGGTACTTCAACGTGCTTTATCATTCAACTTTGAATCACAGCCATAACTCTTAAGTTACTATATGAAACTCTTGAACCGTGCAGCCACAATATACTCCAACTTGTGAAGTTTCAAGTGAGTTTTCAACTTTTATAGTTGTGCCTGTAATCTTATTACGAAAATATCACCTCGGATGGTGAGACGTGGTTGCCGGTTGGGATCGCGGATTTTATATGAGCCTCCCTTTTTATATTATAAATCTTAAACGAATCACTACTGGTCGGTAATTTTGAAGTTTATACTTTATTTTGTAACTCATTTCTATGGTTTACTAGTATTCGTTGAATCGAAAATAAAAAACCTTTAGAAATTTCAATTTGTATAAAATTCTTAATAATTTTATGTACAAACGTAAGTATAGACTAGAAAATATATTGATAGAAATAATTGTTATTATTAAGTGATTGTCCGATTTCCACAATGTTATCTAAATCTACAATTCTAAACTTTCTAATATAAAGAGGACAGATTTGTATTTTTGTATGTTTGTAAAAAATAAACTCAAAAACTACTTAGTGGACTGATTTAGATGAAATTTGGTAGGAAGTTAGTTTGAGACCCTGGGAAGGATTTAGGACATTTTTTATTCCGGAAATCATCCCTTAAGGGGGTGAAAATTGGGATGAAAATATGTATGGGGAATAAAATATTAAACTCGTGATAAATAAATCGGGCTATTGTTATGATTGCGGCAAAAGTTTGTGTGCCTGTGTGTGTTTATTACAAGTATAGACTATGACCTGAAGTGACACGTAGGTTCCTGTTAAGATGTTGTCTGTTTGTCTGTGCGTTTGTGCGCGCTAATCTCAGAAACGGCTTAAGCGATTTGGGTGCTGTTTTACTAGTGTATTGTGGTAAGCTTCACTTAATATTCAGTATGTTATTTCAATCGGTATATAAATAAAAAAAGTTATGTCAATTTAAATAATCACCTAGGGACGAGTCCGAGCGATGAGAGGGGGATTCGCTAGTTTTTCATATATGTACAAAATTCCCCAGAATATATTTTCATAAATTAGGTGCTTAAATAGAATACTAGAAATATTTCAGTCATTCCACTTTTCTGCTTTGTTCATGTTCAAATGCTTTTTTCAGTTACATGACAGTAATTTTGCAAGGAAATTGTCGTTCATTATTTACTTTTATGACTTTTTATAATAAAAGATTTATCTGAGTTTAACTTTTTATATTGTCCCTTTATAGCTTGTCCCTTTGTAGATTGTTTTATAAATATAGAAATATATATATGGGTAAACGAAAGAATTGTAAACTTTAGTGAAAGATAATTACCTACCGATATTACATTTTAGATTACAGTAATCAGGTTTATGTTTTATGCATTTTTAGGGCTCCGTTATTGAAAGGTGCCAATTACTAAGCCTCCGTTGTCCGTTTGTCTGTCTGTCAGCGGATCGTATGTTATGTACAGTAGTTACGTAAAGAGTTGATCACAGAGTGTCTATTTGTCCAAGATGGACAATTTCAAAATTGCGCCATGCAAATTAAAAAAAAAACGATTATGGTACGAAAAACTTTGTGTGCAAGTCCGACTCGCACTCGATCGGTTTTTGATATTTACATGATAATGATTCTTTTAGCCCGAGAGCTCGTGACGAATTTTGGGAATATCCTTTTAGCAAGTTGAAATTGTGAAAAAATATAATTTCATGAATTGGCGACTCTCGGAATACTTTGTATTACTTTAGAACACATGACGTACCTCCGCCGTTGCAACTTTGATTTTATCCATACATTTCTTATTTACACTGGCACGAGTTTACTGCAAATATAAACATGAAAATTTATTTTTGCATTTTAATATGAATATTTAGCCGAAGCACTGCGTAGTATTAATTAATTAATTTAGACTGCAATAATGTTAATGCAGACTGTTCTCGTTTATTGTTGACCGCAATACGCCGTTATTTAAAAGCCAACATTTCATTATCTGTATTACGTATACATACATTTAAAATTATAAAAGTATATTTAAGAAAAATTGTAAAACTAGTGACTTGCCCTCATGTTGCGCGAATGAGTCTCTAGGGGCCTTTTTGTTATACATTGGTTCGGAGGTTTATGAGTTTATCGCGTACAGACACACAGACAGGCGCGGTGGGTAACTTTGTTTTATAATCTGTAGAGATAATAAAAAAAATGTTTGGTTATTTTCGGCTTGAATGCCTTAATCTCTGAAACTTTACACTACAATTTAACAAAATTTACGAATATAAACAAACCCAATTTTTGGAGGAGGAGGAGGAGTTATTTTTTGGATATACCCCAGGAGTGCACAAAGAACCTTCACAATTTAACTTCTAGTAGCGTATAATATAGTGGTTGTTAGAGTTTGTACAATTTTTTAATTCTTACACCTAAAGTTCTAAAGTTTCGCAGTATAAAGTAGAGCTTCTTATGAAAGGATTACTTCGGCACGGCCTCACGTTTCTTATTTAAACATATCTGGAAAATGTTTTCACAATCATACACATTATACTCGTATTTTGCACGTACGTGTTGTTTTCATTACGTTGTTGTTTGTGTTTTGTGTAAAATATATACTTGTTGTTTTTGCATGGTATTTGGTGAATGTATTTAGATTTCTACATGTTTTTGTCGCTTCTATGTGTTTCTTTTAGCTAATTTTAACCGTAGAGATTTTATCATAGTGATAAAAGTTTTTTTTTAATTTTTTTTTTAAATTTGAAATAATGCATAACATTATGTTTTGTCATGTTGGCTAACTACTAATACTTATTAAGAATGATTGTACTAAGTTTATTAACCTTTATAATAACTGTGTATACTGTAAGTAGTTTTCTTTAATTAGTTTTGTATAATATAAGCAAGTAAACTTGCTTATGAAGCTTATTGCGCTTGAACGCCAAGTATTATTTAGTGATACTTGTTATTTTGATTTATTTAAATTGAATTTTTCTGTAAATTTCAAAAAAAATATTAAATAATTTTAACTTTACAAATTTGTAAATTTTTACATGTCTTCATTGACGTCAATATTTTTTTTTCTAATATTAATATTATCTATAGGTGCTATACGACGGCAAGTTATCATCCGCCATAGTGTTTATGTACAACCCCGTGGCGACGGACGGACAGCTGTGTCTACAGTCGGCGCCCAAAGGCAATGTGTCCTACTTCGTGCACACGCCCCATGCGCTCATGTTGCAGGTAAGCTCCTCCATTGATATGCTCTCCTGGTTACATTGGTGTTATCAGTACTGTTTTAATAACGATTTGTTTTTCTGATATTATTTAATATTTATTAATCTTCCTTTAATCGATTAACTCCACCTACTCATCTGATTAAAATAAGTACATTTTATGTTAGCGTTAATTTATATGCTGAAATATATGTACATATATACCTAACAAGTATATATGATGTTATTTTAAATATTTAATTATAAATAAAACTTATTTGAAAAATTCTATCCCTTTCTAAAGAGCGAAAACAAATTTTACACAACATTTTGCAAAAAAACCAATCAGATATACATGGTTATGGTAATATCAGCTCCTCTACACTCATGCTATCCTGATATGTTGATAATATTTGTTACATTAACACATCTTTCATCTGACGTTCGATGACATTTATGATAAGAAAAAATTCTAGGGCATACATACATATAATATGTAGTACATATAAATGGCTCAATCGGTTGACGTTGAGATCTACTATGCTTCTATGTTGTCCTGGTACAGAGCAATACTTTTTCAATTTTGTCCCTTTTTCTTCCTTATCTCGCTTTCGATTCAAGCGTAAGAGAGAAAGGGACGTACACTTTTATTGGTTACCATTGTGCCTATTACTGAACTCCACACTTATGATGCCTTCTTAATTTATTTGTATAATACTTCTCCCCTTTCCATCTCTTTCACATATACATGTAGATAGATAGGAAGCACATATGGAAGACAAATATGTCTTGAAAATAAAAAAACGCTATCTATATAATATAAAATATATAAAGTATCCGCATTGGCGTATATGCAAAAAGTTTTTTAGAGAATCTACCTTTCTAACTCTTATGTCTCTTTTATTTAAAGTAAGATTAACCTCATGCGAGAAAAGGACGGAATAAGGACTGGCTATAAATAACATTAGTGTTGCATGTACGATGACGAAACGTCAGCATTATATGTTCGATATCTTCCGTTTTTGTCTTTATCGCAATGTGAGAAAGAGACAAGTTGTAGCTCGTTTCACTATGAAGTAATTCATGTCCTTTAACACCCTTCATTCGGTTGCATCGCTCCAATATACTCATAATGTCCTAGTAATGTAGTTATAATAAATTATTAGTTGTGTTATGTAGCTTTATAGAAAATAGTTTTTGTACTAACTAACTCAAGTTGATAGAGAATTAAAATGTTAAATTTAAATTTTAGTAGTAAAAGATGCTTTTTGTGCTATGCTATCCTGGTAGACATTCGTTGGCTCACTATTACAAGGTTCTATGTTAATTTTAATGAAGTTTAGTAATTTGACTTTAAAAATTTTGACTTTCGAAAAATGTATACTTATTAATCCTAATCCCTAAGTGATAGTTTATTAGCATAATTAAGGGCTACGTGATGCTTTCTAGGAACTAACAATTAGATAATATTGACTTGGATACTAAGCAATATTATCGAAATAAAAATAACATAGAACTTTGTGATACCAAAAAAATATTTTTATTTATTTTAACCAGAACTTAGGACTTTGTTTCATTGAAATAAGTATAAGATATTAGTTTATGTCCAAGTTAAGTATTAATTTTATTGAGTCATCTGAACTATTATAATATGTTATCATGTCTCAGTACCATTAAAAACATTACTTGTACATATGTGAAATTTATTATCACAAAAAATGGTTAACACTTTGAATGTTGCCTCATAGAACTCCTTGTCCACTGTACATCACACTTGTCACTTACACTTACACTTGTCCATTGATACATAGATTCTGCTGTGTGTGAACATCTAAAGCTCACATCAAATCTATCTACTATAATAAAACTGTACAGGTCGAATGCCTGTACATAGAACAAAAATGCTAAAAACCGAGTCAGGGTGATGTAAGAAGACAAATAGAACAAATCCAGATTTTTTTCAATTTTTTCAATCTCTGAAACTATTGGATCGATTTTAGTGAAATTTTGCATGGTGGTACCTTATATCTCCGGTCAATATCTAAGATACTTTTCATTCAGGAAAATTAAGGAGTTCCCGTGAGATAGTTAAAAAAACTATAGTAACTTATACAACCTAGTACACAACAACTTATGCACCTAATTTAGTAAAATTTGGCATGCTGATACCTTATTTTGCCGGTCTAACAACAAGTTACTTTCATCCCGGAAAAATGAACGGTTACCGTGGGATATACCTGTTTGTGCTTTTCTAGAGGCGAACTCGAGTGAAGTGAGGGTGAGCCGCTAGTTGTAAATAAAACTCTAAAGCATAAAACTCTAAGCAAGGTCCTCTGTTTAATATAGAACCTTGCTATCCTAAACGAAAAGCAAAAATTGAATGGTTCTATGTTTAACATAGAACCTTGCTATCCTAAAAAAAATCGAGAAAAACCGTTTTTTACCCCTAAAAGCTCCCCCCCACCCCCTTCCCGACCTCAGATCGCCCGTAAATTATTTTTCCTTTTATTTTTATAATATTCCCCTCCTTTTCTAATGGGTTGCATCCTACTATTATTTTTTTTCACTTTTTATTATTTTTAAAGGCTTCTACCCTGGTCTAAAACTGTTTTATTCCTTTTTGTACTTGGTAGCAAAAAAGTCACCTTTTTCGGTAGGGCTCATCTTATTTAAGCGTGAATCTTGTTAAATAAGTCAAATCAGACTATTCTGAATAAGAAATGTAGGTATACATATTGTGACCCAATTAGTTTTGTTTCTCTCAAAATTGAGATAATCTCGGGATTTAACAAAGAAAATGTATGCGAGCACGTGAATCGCTTGTGTATGCTCACTTTGTCACGTTGACGGAATCAACCCTTCTCTAAAATATTCACTGGAGCTATGAACGCTTTGATCTGTGATTACATTCTGCGCGTTAAATTTAGACTCGCTCGCGATATTTAATAATGCGTGTTATTGATGTTAACGTGCCTACTTGATTAATAATGAATTAATTATAGTATATTGATATCTAAGATTGTTTATTAGCTTTAACATTGTATAAAATTGGGAATTTTAAGATTTTTTAGTATGATAAATAAATATAGGTATATAATATAAAATTTGACTATACACACAGTATAAATATAACAGTGGTAGCCCAGTGGTAATGCGATCGCTTGGGATACCGAGCGGGGAGCGGGCTCAAATCCCGGGTCTCGCACCTCTGATATTTATATATCCACACTTGGCCAGCGTGTGGATTATGGCCTGTTCTCCCTCGTATTGAAGTGAGGTACGTGCCCAGCAGTGAGACGATAAAAAGGGGCTGAATAAATGAGTATACATATGAATAAGAGAAATAAGTTTTTTTTTACCATTAGGATGCTAAAAATATTAATGAAATATATCTAATTACAGGAGGTTAAAGCAGTGATCACACACTCCATCCACAGCGCGCTCAACTCTATCGGAGGTGTGCAAGTGCTGTTCCCTTTATTCGCGCAACTTGACTTGCCGCACGACGCGCCGGCCACTGACCCGAAACGTGATCCTATGTTATGGTATGTTGAGTTTTTGTTATTATAATCTGACTATTATAATCTATGTATTATTATTATTATTTTTTTACAAATCGGACGGATCTGGCTGTACACAGAGAGCCTATGACCTTATTTTTATGTCGGGGTACTTAAGAGAAGCCAGTACTACCCACAAACACCCAACGGAACCTCCCCCGTCTTAATGGGGCATCGCAGGATCGCTTACGCACTCAATCAAGACGCCTCGACAGTAGGTCTGTCGAAGCAGACCACAACAAATCAAAGGGTTGATCCCACGGTCCACTTTGCTATCAGAGAAGTATTAGGAGCAACCCGCATGGTACACCGCTCACCGAAGTGGACCATCTCCCAGTGTGTTTCTTGGCTTTACGCCCGGCTGGATTGCCGGACGCTAATGAACCCTCCCACCATGACAAGGTTAATACATCGAGGGGGAGACAGACTATGACCTGGAGTAACACGTGAGATGCTGCTAGGCCCAGAAAAGTTGCTAGTATTAAATTTTGCCTATAGCGGATATCTTCATTAATCACGTCACTATAAAACCACGTTATAAATATACAAATATCTTATACTGTATTTGTATTACACATTCGTTGTATTAAAATACTATAACGTAGATTATAGAGAATAATCTTGGAAATCTAGTTACGAGTAGCTTGTTGTAAGGCAAAATAGTTAAGGCTCATTTTCATTGGTCGTTAGCTTCATCGTTATACCGCATGCGGGGAGTCCCCGAATGCGAGATAACGACTAATGAAATTGCTTCATCGGTATTACGGTCGATATACAGCACGCGGGTATTCCCCGCCAGCAGCAGTTCTATGCGGCATGTATAATCCCGCACTCCCTATGTGGGTCTCATCGACTGATGAAACCGGTTCATATGGCATGCGTAACATACAATCTCCTGCATCCCACGAGCTATTTTCAACACTAGTGTATAGTATTTTTTAATAATTACGAGGCAAATAATCCTACAAAAATGTTGATGAATTATTTCATAATTAAGCTCAAAGCAAGTATTGCTTTAATTATTGCTGTACGAGACATGATGTCCTCTTGGAATACCGGCAACTGCTTTGGCTTCATTTCACCACTTAATAATATCGGATGTTTTACATTAAAATGTTTTATTTTACTGAGAAATAGTAATAGGTATATGTGATATATACAAACAGAGCTCTAAAGCTAAAGTAAATGACAATTCAATTCTCTCGTTAATGGCTTCAAAGCGTGTCAGTTGAGCTCAGATTACTACGCCAATGACAGTAAATAACATATCTAAGTAGTTTAATGTGTTTTAGTATGCAAATATCAAATATGTATACTATTTTATAATAGTCCTAGCGACTCACACTCGCTTCAAAACAAATCTATCCCACGAAAACCGTACATTTTTCCACGATAAAAAATCCTATGTGTTATTCCAGTACTATAATCTATCTCTGTGCCAAATTTCATCCAGATCCGTTCAGCTGTTCTGGCTTGAAAGAGTAACAAACATCTTTACTCACAAACTTTCACATTTATAGTATTATGTAATACGGATTAGTATGGTTTTGGTAAAACTCGTCTATCTGTAAATAGAATCATATTAATTATCCCAGTGCTCTGTGCCCTTTGGTGCCTTATTAACTCGACTTTGCTGTTGTTGTTACATTCAGTGTATGGATTTAGTACCTTTTGCGTAAGTAAACATGTATTGTTTATTAGAATAGGGATGTTTTCTTCTTTATGTTGATAAATTAATATAAACATTGAATATTTATAGAAATTAATAATTATACATCTATACATATAATAAAATTCTGAGTTGAATCTGTACATTTAATATTTTTTGAAAAATCTTATTGAAATATTCATTATTATCGATAAAGAGGCTGAATCTCTAGTTTTTAGAATTTTTGTCTGTCTGTCTGAGAACGCATCACGAGAAAAGCACTGGATCGATTTTGATGAAATTTTGTTTGATGAGCTGGATATCCGGGTCAACATATAGGATACGATGAACGATACTGCGGGAAAATATCTCATCTCTGAGAAATCTATATAACCGTTAAAACGTACCAAAGGGCGAACTCGAGCGGAGCGAGTGTGAGTCGCTAGTAAATAATATTTTCTCATATCGCTTTATAAAATATTAAAACCACCACTAAACAAGAGGCATGGTCGGTCAATATAACCGCATCAATATTAATACGAATGAACGTTCATGCCGTCGTGCCACGAGTTTCCACAAAATGACGTTCTGCATCACTAAATTTAACAAACTTACGTCAAAATGCAAATGGAAATCATATCAAAATGCATATTACGCCTATTCCAAACTTCTAATGCCGCAGAAAATGATACAGTGACATCCAGAGTCCAGAGCGCTGCAGCAGGAACAAGTTTGCTGAATTACTTCTATAGACCAAACTAACAAGCGCCAAAATTTCCAAACTAAATCATACCAGTGAGTTTAGATGCGAGTTCCAGTTCATTCATTAATATTCCAAGTAGCTAGGGACGCGTAACCCGGCTAAATGCGTTTTCTATGTCGGTGCCTAATCGCTCTCTAAGTTAGCCGACCGTCTCGAGCCGGTAGGGTAATAACTAACTCCTCAGAACTACTAATTGCCTAGTGTCGACCTCGGTTAGCCGAATGGATTTATACGAGGATTTAAGGGGGATTTAAACAATGTGCGAGTGGATCGAAACTTCCATGTAATTTAATATCTATAATTTTGATTTAAGACGGAGTGTAAAATATCTGGGTGGGTTTTTTAGAAAAAGAAAAAAAAATTTTTTTTTTTATTATTTAAAAATAGCTGATTCGACAGACGATGTTCTGTTTGTGGTATATTTTAAAAGAAAAGATAAAGCACTTTCTCTTTTCAATACGGGGGGAACCCTTTCAAAACATGGCTTGGGCTTTTGCGAAATTAAAAAAAAATCCAAATCGATCTAGACGTTTTCGTGTTGTGTGAAGAAATGCATTCAGTGTAAACCACAAATAGCGTTTCATTTTTAAAAAAAGAGATAATACCTTATACCGTCAAATAAACATAGAATAAACCAATTAAATACAACTTAATATGGTGTACTTGTAATGAATAATTTGTACGCACATGCAAATACTGTATCTGTAAATTTAAACGCCTGAGTCAACTTATCTTACTTTAATTAAAGTGCGTCTTATTAAGACAAACTTCTTCTATTTGTAGAAGAGAAAGCTCAGTTTAAGTTTGGCAATTAGTTTTATATTTCTATATAGTACTTATAACTAGACTAATATTAGGGTTGTGGCTTCGCCTACGTGTATGTAATCAGCCCTTTTTAACGTTCCACTGCTGGGTGCAGGCCTCCCTTCAATGCGAGGGGGCCCCACGCCGCGCTGGCCAAGTGCAGGTTAGCGGACTTCATATATCTTTCGAAAACTTGCTCGGTTCTCTCAGACATGCACGTTTAATCACAATGTTTTCCTTCAATGTATGACAAGTAGTAATTTTATTAAAAAGAAGTACGCGTATACTGCTGTTTAATAAATAACAAATAGCAAGCACTGTTATATTGTAATTTACTTTGTGTAAAATCTAACATGAATTATTAACATAAAATATACTCGTATGTACAACAATTAATATCTCACTCGTAATATTATCATGGTAATAGATCGGACAGAATTTGTAATTTATTACGTACCCACCGAAATAGTCAGCTGCGCATTGTTTCATACGACTTACGACGCGTCTCCATAAACTATAATCTATCTGAAGCTTTCCTTACTAGGAATAGAAAAATATAAGCCCCATACAAATTATGTCAAATTCCTATCGATAGATAAGTTATTGGGACATGCCATTAGTCTATTATATACGGCTAAATCCATGGTGACAATGTAGAGCGGATCAAAATATGTACATAGCAACGTCTTACTCTCTCTCGAGGCTTACACTTGGGTACGTCGTTCGGTAATTGGATGTTAACGAACCCATATCGCCATAAAATAAATGTTACGTATTTACTGTAATTCATTTATAGGTACTTGGTTATACTCAACCTACACATTCTTTAGTAAAGTTTATGCATGCAATTTGGTTTTAGTATCTAGATACTCTATAATCTCTATCCATAATATATGATAACTTAGGTATTTATTTCGAGATTTCAAATATTTTTAAATGAAAAATATAAATATTATTACTTATTTTAAAATTTGTTTAGAATAAAGAGAAACGGTATACCGAATAAAATTCGATATATACCCATAATATTATCCCATTTGCTTATCCCATGGGATCTATTTGTTTTCTAAGGAAACAAGTTATACTAAATATTGTTGTTTGTAACTCGAAACAACATCATTTAAGAGCCGTAACTATGAAATACAAATAATGAAGTTTCCTCTCCGATACAAACTCACGAGGGTGACCGAGATTGAATTTATGTACACCAACGTCTTATATTATGTATCGTTCACGTGCTGAATATAATGGAGTGAGGGTTTCAGAGCGATTAGACGCTCAACGATCTAAGATGGAACCATTGGGGTCATTATTGTCTATGTGAGATTATAGACTCAAGGGATATAAGATGCCCATCAAGAGATTTAGGTTGGTGGATGCTGGAAGTAATTCTTGGATTACTCGTACAAAGGATTAGTCTGTTTGTTCAGGAAATGTTAAACGTCGTTAGTAGTTTACTGGCTGGTATAGATTAAAAATTGTTATTAATATGTAGATAATATTAGAAGAGGATAAATTACTTATAATTATTTATAAAAATATGTTTGATAAGATTTATTATTATGGCTACATTTAGGTAGCTGACTGAACTTTTCAACAGACTTCCAAAAAGGAGGAGGTTCTCAATTCGTCGGAATCTTTTTTTTTATAAACTTGAAGTAAAATGTTTGTACCTACATGTTACGGTATAAATGGGTTGCAAAAGGCATAGGGGTGTTAGGTATATTCATAATTCAAAAATATTTAATTTCTTTCATATTAATTCAGGTCGATGATAAGTAAATCATACACAATAGTTCACGTTACATATGGGCAAACACTCAAACAAATTCTAGTCTAATTTACGTTTTTTGGTGTAGATACTTTCTGTCGTACGTCGTGCATAAGCCTCGCGGTTGTCAAAAATCTAGATGAATATACTAAATCTCGCTTCTAGAAAAAACAAAAATGTATCCCACGAAAACCGTACATTTTTTCGGGATAAAAAGTAGCCTGTTATTCTGATGTATGAGCTTATATTATTGTAAAGTTTCATCAAATTCCATTCCGTAGTTTTTGCATGAAAGTTTTTGATTCATAAATCCATAATATAACCTCACAAATTTTCACATTTATAATACATATAAGTAGGTATATGTACATTATGAAAATATTATAACATATTTATATGAAAAATTGTGAGTGTTTGTTACTTTTTTACGTTATACGTAACGTTTGACGTACTTTCCTCGCGAGTGGTGCCACGGTCTTGTATCAGTAGTAAATATGTATATAGATTTAATGATAAAATTAATACTACTAATCGACTAAGCTAATGGCTAGAAGTTTGACATAAAGTGGGGGATAAGCAAGTTATTGCCTGAAAGCCCTTGTCATAATGCTTAACGACGCGGTTAATGTATTGATACTATGTACTTGTGTTAGAGACGGTAATGTGCTTCATGGTCACTTTTGACAGAATTTAGTATGAATCATGAGTAAATAAGTATAGTAATATAACCTAGATGTGATTTAATTAATATTTATAAAGATTTATAAGGTTTCCAAAACCTTATAATATCTAATTACTATTATAAGGGTCCAAAAAAAAAGTAATATACGGTTATTATATGTATTATAATATGTAATTATTAATTAAATAATTAATTGTTATAGTAAGTCTCTAGAGTTTCGAAGCAGTTCATCATTATAAGAAATAGATATTGTTACGTTTTCATATTTTCCAACACAAACTTATACTTTTTTAGATTTACGTGAATATTTGACATTTTAGAATGAAACTATGTTTTCGAATCTTTCGCGGATTTGTTTTAATTTTTGTGGGCCTAAAACCCTAGTGGCTCCCGTGACCATAATTACTGTGAAGTATTTGAAACGGGAACCAAAAATTATAATAAATTCGCGTTAAAAAACCGAAAAGATAGTTCTGTTTTAAAATGAAAAACTTATTATCTTTTACTGTATAAATTTGTGTTCTTTGAAAACTGTGAATTTAAAATACTTAATAACTTCAATTTTCAGTTCCAAACTACTCGGCTTCGTGTGTTCTCTCGTCGAGTCCTGCAGTACGGTGCAACAGCACATGCTTCAATGTCGCGGCTTTCTAGTCATCTCTCATATGTTGCAACGCTGCGGCAGGGACCACCTTACGCCGGACACGCTGGCCTCTTTCTTACATCTAACCAAACATCTGGTGACCTGTTGCTCACCTAATTCCGATCTCTTGCTAAAACAGGTAAGACCAACGAGGTTTGATAAGTTTATCAATATTTAAATTATTATTATTCTCTCAATGTTAGTTATATTTTGAAATTATAATATCAATTTAATGATTTCTTCACTGAAATACGATTTACGTATTTTTTTATATGTTTTGATAACAATTTTTAATATAAAGAAATTTATGTAGTACTTGTGCCCCAAGCATCCAAGTTATGCGTGAACGCGGGTAGGCTTGCACAAAATTAGAAGCCTAAATTCAAATTAATCGCTCAGAAATATTAATTTGCGATCAAATCTCTGCCTTCCCGTAATTTCGCGTAACGGACGACCGCGGTATTGCGTCATAAATAACATGAAATGGCTCAACGCGAACTTGTTCCAGATTACGCGATTAATTCTCACTTTATCACAACAAAAGCAATAAAATAATTTTATTTACTTTTTTTACTTGTTTGAGTTTCAAAATGCTGTTTTTTTTGTTACTTTCTTAATTTCTTTACTTAAGATCTCCTTGGATATGTTCGACGTATGACTTTCACGACTGGGAATTATCTATAATTAAAATATAAACTTTCCAGACGAGAAAGTTCATCTAAGTGTTTGATTTAGACAGCAACAAAGGTGACGCTAGTAACTCGTAGCACAACGTATTTAATAAAAAACAATATTAATAATTATTTTAAATGATGCACAATAAAAAAATATAATACTGAAAAATAAATTGGGAAATGCCTGGTATTAAAACCGAAGCCAAAAGCAATATTATAAATATAATATATCCTTATTTGTCAGGATGTCAATAAGTATGCATTTGTATCATTAGTTAACACAGATAAAACATCCCATTTTTATGTGTGTATTTTTTCCAAATAAAAAAAAAGGAATTTTGATTTTATTTGCCTTAGATAAAATATTTGCGTCATCTAATATTAGTCTCGTACCAGACCATATTTGCTGAATATTGTAGGGACCCTAATATAACTTCGAGATATTCCTTGCTTATATTCATATATTCAGTACTTTTAAAATCGTCAGTGAGTTACATAATTTATAATCACAATTTTCAGTATTACAAACAATTCGTGATTAGTCATTACATGGTGGTACCGACATCTCTGTGCAAAAGTGCGGGAAGACAAATGACTATCCGCGCCAATTTTTTTTTTAAACACATTCCTATCGGCCAAGGTCACATAAGTAAATGCCTTATACATAAATCATTACAAATTAATCAATTAATATATTATTATCTATTAAAACACTCAATATATAAAAATGCAACCTTACAAATATGTATCTTTAATAGAATTTGAAATGAAATTTGTCTAAAAATAAAAATCTAAATCAAACAATGACAAATAGTTTTATTTAAACTGTGAAATATTCCCATACATTTTAAAAATTTCACCCCTGGTCACACCTTTGTTGCTGTCAACGTAAAATAAACTCCTAATTTAATGGTTATTTAGTTATATTTTGATGGTTGTTAGCGCACGCTCCTCTTGCTTGTCACCCCTCATGCTCACTTTTATTTACAATATTTCAATACCCACAGAAAATTTTATTTAAATCCACGAAATTTTGCACGATTTCTAATATTCACTACAGTGATGTCAGTTATGTTTGTACTTTATGCTGTACTCATGTCTGTATTGATTATATGCATATTTCTGCTTTAATTTAGAGCTTTTTTTATCAGATTTTTACACTTATTTATCGATTAAATACAGAATAGACATATATGTAAGAATGTGAAAATTTCAGCAAAACACTTTTGTTAAAACTTTAAAGTATTTGGAGGAGGGAATATAAATATGCCATTCACGATATGGCACCTGCAAATGCTTCAAATACAAATATCACTTAACACAATGCACTTATAACAAAAAATGTATTATATGTAAAAATATTTAAAATTCAATAATAATAAATTTGTAGTTTCATATTGATCTATATATTATTTAATAAGCAATATAAGATTTATTCATCATGTCTTTTATCGAAAAAGCAAGAGAGCCTACGCTATCAATCATCGGACAGCCAATAGTCTATGCTAATCAGTCGTTCTGCCAATCTTTCCTAACATGGCAGCTTCTGGACCACATCCTGTTCAACCCGGCCCTCTGGATCCACACGCCGGCGGCGGTGCAAGCCAGGCTATATTGCTACTTGGCCACGGATTTCCTCGCCGATGCCCACATATACGGGAGCGTGAGACGTGTCAGCACCGTGCTCCAGACAGTACATACACTCAAGTACTACTATTGGGTGGTCAATCCGAGGACGAAAAGTGGAATCACACCTAAAGGTTTGGGTATGTTTTAAATATGTTATTATTTTTATGAACAGAATGCTTTAAGAAGCAAACATTTTTGAAATGAAATTTCTTTAGAATCGTTGTTTTTTGAAACTCGATGAAACGGAAATGAAACGAAAATGCGACACTAAAAAGAGACAAACAGATAAATATATAGGATTAAGTCGGCGAGATAATGAGATAGAATGCATTGCCATGTTACCATGGTAACCCTTATTATTGTCTGACTGCACACACATGCATTTTTTTTTCTTATTTATAACTAGCTCACTGAGATGTTTCCCCACGGCTGAGAAGCCTAAATTTCTATTTTGCCTAAGATCTTTGAAATCATATAATCGAAATCCTATAGAAATATCACTTGCAGTGTTTTCTAAATTTCTCAATTTTAAAGGCAAATTTTTATATTTTCCTAAAGACCTTATTCGGATTATTACGAGCAATTTCAAAAATCAACATCAATCAATCAATCAATCAACATCAAAAAATAGCCTAATCGGCTCAGCTATTTTTAGATGATTTTGATGCGTTTACTGACAAACAGATAACATTTTTATTTATAATTTAATCTACATAAGTACTGATATTCTTACTAACTTTATATGGTTTTATTCCAGACGGTCCTCGCCCCGCCCACAAAGACATTCTAACGATACGAGCTTACATACTTCTTTTCCTGAAACAACTCATCATGATCGGAAACGGCGTGAAAGAAGATGAATTGCAGTCCATTTTAAACTATCTAACTACAATGCATGAGGTACATGTCAAAAGCTTTTTTTTTAAATATAAAATAAGTCGTCTGTTACGCAAAAAATAAAATAATAATATCATAATTGTAGATTCGATGGAAATTCTTTAAATATTTTACTGAAAGTTAAAGTTAAAATATACAACAGTAAAATAGATTTGTATAAGAAGTTTTGAATCTCTGATTTATTATAATTAATGTACTGATTATATAAACAGCAGGAAGTTTTGTGGAGAAATTTTATAAATGCGTTGGATGAGTAAATATGTAGTTATGAACTTGTATTTCTATCTTGAAGAATTTAGTTATATAAGCTTATTAAATCAAAACCTAAAGATGTATTGGCAAGTTTTATAATTTATTTATATTTAATTAAAAATTCAGTAGTAGTACCTAATTAGAATATTACATGAAATTGACCTAGTACAATTCTTGTACCTTATATAATATGAACTTTAAGATAAATAACGGCAGTGGTAGAAAATCGAGTGCAGCGGGTTCAAATCCCGGGTCTCGCAAATATGATCTTTTGACGTGCGAATCATTTCCAACATGATAATTTCCATTTGTGTTACGGTGAAAGATACTGTGATAAAGAACTGCATGTCTGAGAGCACCTACCAAGATGTCGAAAGACATGTGAAGTTCGCCAACACACACTTTGCCGGCGTGGTGGACTATGGCCTGATCGAATTGAAGGCCCGAGCCCAAGAGTGGGGCGTTAAATAGGGCTAAATACAACATATTTTTGACATAATATTTAGTCTGTAATAATAAATTCAACATATTTTCTCAAGGACGAAAACCTTCATGACGTGTTGCAAATGCTGATCTCACTGATGTCGGAGCACCCGAGCTCTATGGTACCCGCTTTTGATGCTAAGGTAAGATACATTGATTCTCATATTTATAGTAAAATTAGTGATTATTTAGTTAATTACAAATTATGTTTAGTACTAGCATTGTCCGCGGCTCCGCTCGCGTTCAGATGACAAAAAACCAAACCTTTAGGATTTACATATTAGTATAGCCTTATATTGCGGTTTTTATATTTTTTCTCAGAAATGAGATATTTTCTTGCGGTAAAAAGTGTCGTATTTGTTGACCCGGATAACTAGCTATCACCATACCACATCAAAATCTCTCAAGTGGTTTTTTCGTGATGTGGTAACAGACAGACAGACATACAAAATTTCTAAAAACTATTGATTCGGCCTCTGTATCGAAAAAATGTCTATTTTAGTAAGAATTTCCAAAAAATATATAATGTACTGATTCGGCTTAGTTAGAATTTTATTATATGTATGTATAGATTATAATATGTATTTTATTATAATATGTATGTTGTAGGGGGTCGAAAAAGTAATCTAATATTTTTTTTATAAAATACGAAATATTAAACTAGAATTATATTTTATTTTAAGTATTAAATACAGTGATTAATGTTAATTTAAAACCTGTTTCAGGGCGGTGTAAGGACAATCTTCAAGCTTCTATCATCGGAAAGTCAACTCATAAGACTGCAGGCGTTAAAACTTCTTGGATTTTTCCTCAGCAGGAGCACACATAAGTATGATATTCTTTAGAAAATAATATTTATTAAAATTAAGTTGCTATTTGATGATTTGATATAAAATTGCATTATTTCATAAATTATTGAGTTAAGGTATTCTATTATTCCTTCTACTTTTAAAATACAAAATTTGCGTCACGCGTTTATTGTTACTACCGTTGTTATTTCATGTTATAATTGTAATTAATTTTGTATTATAAAGATGTCCAATGATCATCTCTCGAATTTCTACTTCGAATGATAAATTTTAGTTTATTGAATAACTCCACCAAAACCAAAATCAATAAAGAACGCTTACCTCGAAGGAAATATGTCGTTATCCTGAATTATAGGTTTTAATGAGGAGCTTTATATATTAATATTAAAATCGACTTTTATATATAATATATAAAATATTAAACAAGAGGTTATTAACATTACATTATTATTCACTATTTAAACATAAAGGTATAAAGCATTTTAGCCGCCATCGAGGTAGATTAAAAAAGTTAACTTTTTTAAATCTACCTCGATTTTTTAATTGACTTTTAAATCTTTATTCAAAGTGCTCGTTCATATAAATTAAAATTGACTTCCAGCACTTGTTTACATATGTAGTTAGTAGTTACATAGTTAGTAAGTAAAAACACGTGTCCCCCCCAGAAGGAAGTACGACGTGATGTCCCCCCACAACCTGTACACGCTGCTGGCGACGCGGCTGGCGGCGTGCGGCGAGGCGCTGGCGCTGCCCGTCTACAACGCGCTGTACGAGCTGCTCACCGAGCACGTCGGCCAGCAGATACTCTACACCAGCCACCCCGAGCCGCAGCCGCACTTCCGCCTCGAGAACCCTAGTGAGTGACAACCCTATGCCCCGTAAGCCTAGAGCACCTTAGTGAGTGACATTCCTATTGCTCGTAAGCCTAGAGAATGATAGTGAGTGACAACCCTGAGACTTGGAATCCTAGAGAACCCTAGTGAGTGACGACCCAAAATTCTTAAAGCCACAGAGAGCTTTAGCTACACTTTAGAATAGGTAAACCTAGTGTGTGTCAAGTGTCAAGCCTAACTTATAATGTAAATTCGCAAAAAGTTGTATCTACTCTTCTGCCGACGTGATATCCGCGTTGAAATAGATCAAGTGACACCCTATAGAGGGTTCATCGTGTTTTGTATTTAGATATTTGAAACTCTAAAATATTTAAATAGTAAGAATGTTACAATCGTCCCCTATAATTAGGTGAATATAATTAATAAACGATTCCTCTTTCACAGTGATCCTGAAAGTCGTCGCCACATTAATCCGTCAATCGAAACAAACAGAGCAACTCCTTGAAGTTAAAAAACTTTTTCTCTCCGACATGACTTTATTGTGCAGCAATAACCGCGAGAACAGACGAACTGTCCTGCAAATGTCAGTATGGCAGGAATGGCTGATAGCTATGGCGTATATTCACCCTAAAAATGCCGAAGAACAGAAGATTTCAGATATGGTGTATTCGTTGTTCAGGATGTTGTTACACCATGCAATTAAACATGAGTATGGTGGATGGAGAGTGTGGGTCGATACGTTAGCGATTGTGCATTCTAAGGTGAGGCAATAATACTGATATATTTTGGGCTTGTAATTGATAATTCAATCTTTTATTATGTGAATTTGTTGTATTGAGGATTTTGCTCAATATTGGTTAACTTTTTGTTATTATATCATATCCAATGGGATTCGACTGCATTTTTCTTATATGACTATGCAATTTTTTTAAATTTTTTTCAGACTCCGTTTTAGATATAAAATAATATATACTTACAAAGTAATTATCTTTTTATGAAATTTAATTTACTGATCTACGAAGCTAATATGTAGCATTATATTTTAGGTGTCGTATGAGGAATTCAAACTTCAGTTCGCGCAAATGTACGAGCACTACGAGCAAAGGCGCGCCGACAACATCACAGACCCGGCGGAGAGGCAACAACGGCCCATCTCCACCATATCCGGCTGGGACAGACACACAGACGGACCCAAGACCAAAGTGCTACAAGATACCGACGATAGTGTAGACAGCACTCCTGTATCGATAAGAAAACAGAACGTACTTAATCACGCCGCTCAAACTGAAATAGGCAAAGGCCTTTCCCTAAGAGAAGTTGAATCGTGTAGGTGTAAAAAAAATAATGAAGTTACAGAAGAAAGGACTACAGTAGTGTATAGTGAAGTGTGTAAAGTGCATAGCCCAGTTAAAAGTAATACCGAAGTGCCCATCGAAGGTTGTGATAGCAATAACGAAGTCGAACACGCGATCGACGAAGAACAAGTAGAAGATAAAACGTTCAACGATAATAATGAATTAGTACAGTCCATTATTGAAAATAAACTATTGGAGAGCTCAGAGTCTGGTATTGGAATAATGGAACCTGACTCCGACAAAACTGACAAGCCTTTAACACGACAAGGCAGTCTCGATTATATTCCAGTTAGAGATATAGGTGACAATTTGAACGACAACACTGATAAGAGCGAAGGATTGCCTTCTAGCCTGTCTGTCAGTGAAACGGCGAGTCCAGAACGTGTGGCCGATGGATTAAATATCATAAACGAGAGGGAATCCGAAATGTCCGATCCGTCCGAATTGTATCTAACTCCAAGTGAAGCGACTAGTCCCAAGAAAATACAAGATAAGACTGACTCTATACCAGATGATATGTCGACTGATGATCCAAAGCATATTGCCATCAATATTGTGAACGATGTATTGACAGTTGCGTTGGAAACTGTGAGGTTAAAAACAGACGATGATACCGACTCTGGGGCTATTTCTGGCGGACTGCACTCAGAAGGCAACACGCCGAATGGCCGCGAGGACTTAGAGCAAGATATAGAAGACATTCTAGATCAAAAGCAAACAGTTGAAACTATTGCAAACGACTTAGTAATGGAAATAATAACAACGGTTGTTTCTAAAAGTGAAGAGATTAAAGAAATTAATACAAATAGTCCTCAAAGAGTTTTGCCATCGGATCATCCCCATGAAGGCAACGTGTTGCCTCTTGATGGCGAATTTTTAGTACCCTCAAAAGAAGAAAAGAGTGAATCGACATCCACAGAAGTGACTGTGATAGAAGAAAACACCAAAAACGAAAGCCAAAGAATAGAATTACAAGAAGAAAATAAGACACCAGAAATCCCCCCGATATCGACGATTAGTGAGAATATTTCACTCGCAAATAAGAAGGAACAGGACGACGAAGAAAGGTGTGAAGAGAGAGACAAAAGACGAGTTAGTTTGCCGGGTGATAGTGAGATGAAGCAGGACGGCAATAGAGGCGAGGGTGTGTCATCACAAGGCACAAATACGTCGACGTCCCCGAAGCGGCCGCGTAGCGCCTCCACCAGTACACAAGTTGATTCAAACCATTTTGGTGAGATTTTTTGCTTAATATACTTTAATTTTGATAGTAAACAAAAAAAAATAGTTTTTCTAATACAGCATTTATAACTGTTGTGTAGTTAGTAGACATATGAAACTTAACGTGTAATATGGTGACATCTTTATTTTCTGTGCTAATTTTTTTTTAATTTATATTAAAAGACGAAGACCTTAAAAAACATATTATTTACATATTTTATGATTAGTCGACTCGTACACACACTATAAATAGTATAATTATTCGGGTGTATATTTGCCAAATGTAAACTGATTTTCATGATCATTTTTTTTTTATAAATTGTACCTTTTTTTTTAACGTTGGGAAATGCATTTACGCACAAGTTGTGGGACTCCCCGGCAAAGCCAGTACTACCCACTAAAACCCAACAAAACCTTCCCCCGTCTTAGTGGGGCATCGCAGGATCGCTTACGCATTCAACTACGACGCCCCGACGGCAGGTCTGCCGAAGCAGACCACAACAACCATGGGGTTGCTCAAAATACTTATTAACAATTAAATTTAAGTAATAAAAAGATTTTAAATAAAACAACCTTTTCGGATTTTTTCGCGAATTTATATTGATTTTTAATTCCTGACGTTTCGAATGCTTTACAGTAATCAAATAGAATATGTTGCGGTAATTTAAAAAAAGTACTAATAACGAGATTTTTCCGCAGAAACAAAACGCCCGTCTAAATGCAGCCGGCCGATGTTCTCCCCGGGGCCCACGCGCCCGCCCTTCCGCATCCCCGAGTTCCGCTGGTCGTATATACACCAGCGACTCTTGTCAGATGTGTTGTTCTCCTTAGAGACTGATATACAAGTAAGGGTTTTGTGTATATTATTTAATACTTTAGGAATAAATTGGATACATCGATAAAAATAACCTACGTTCTAAAATACTATTATAAATAAACTACCTCGATTTCGATCACTTTATTACATTGAATTCCAATTTCCAACGGATTCTGTAACATCTATAATAGTATGAAATAGTAAAATACTCACAAACGATGTGAATATCAGAGTTTCGCATTTATAAAGCGTTGTAAACTATAACGTGAAAGGGAAAATGTGTTTGTTGGCTTATTATTCTTTTACACACTAATTAGATTAACTAATATTGCCATAGAAATAAATAATATTTTATTAACTTAAAGAAACATATATTTTTTTCAAAATATTTTATTTTTGTAAAACATTTCTTTTTACTTATTCATTATCTATATACTTACTAAGCGATGAGCATAGTTAATAACTAATAACGTTTATGTCGGTAATTTCATTTTATAACATCGCAGGTATGGCGCAGTCATTCAACGAAATCTGTGATAGATTTCGTGAACAGCAGCGAGAATGCGATCTTCGTAGTGAACACCGTGCACCTCATCAGCCAGCTCGCGGACAACCTCATCATCGCGTGCGGCGGCCTGCTGCCCCTGCTGGCGAGCGCCACCTCGCCTAATGTTAGTGGATCTAATAACTATTATTTACAGGTTTCACCACTTCTAAGTTTGTGTCTAGGTCGTGCCAATAATAGCTATTTAGTTTTTCTGATAAAGTAGTTCTAATTAGCAAGGTGATCTTGGAAGATGGTGCCCCAACGGCCTGATCTCTCCTCGGAGTTTGAGACAATCGCTACACGCCCTGGAACATCTCCCGCACATATACTAGTATCTTATTTACTATATATCTGATACAGAAATTTTAATGTTAATTATAATGTATGTACGTATATTAGGGTGTGACAAAAAAAACTTTTTTATACTTTAGTTACCATGAAAATATCGCCGAAGATGACGAAAAAATAAATTCTGATAATGTTTGAGCTCTTAATATTAATATTAAGAGGTGGCTCATCGTGATTTTTGATTTTCCATATAAATAACATGGTTGTTTTTTGGGAATTTTAATGCGCTCAAACTAATTATTGTCCAGACAAATTAGAACATATATGTACTTGTAGGGGATTAAACGATCTACAAAAAGATCTCATAACATTTTTCAACCGACTTCAAAAAGGAGGAGGTTCTCAATTCGACTGTATGTTTTTTTTTATGTTTGTTACCTCAGAACTCCGTCATTTATTAACCGATTTGGACAATTTTTGTTTTGTTTGAAAGGGTATACTTCCAGATTGGTCCCATTTATATTTCAAAAAAAAATACCACCCCTAAGGGTGGAAAAACAACTAATGATGAATTTAACCTACTTCTAATTGTCATATTGACTTGAAACTTTGCAAGTATTTCTATTTCCGTTGATAGTACAGTGGTTCGGTGTTGTTGACCTGATCTGATGGTAAGGCCAGAAGGTGGATAGGTGGAACTCTTCAACGGCTAATAGTAGATACTTTGAGTTTGGGCTTATTTTGTTTGATTTGACAAGCCTAACACGTTAGAATCCTTACTTTGCTACTACTGTCTACACTAAAAAGGGAAAAATAAAAATTGCTTAGTCGACTCGTTTAAAAGTTATTTGAGGTTAAAGTTCAACCTCAAATGGTAAATGATGACTTTTACAATTTTTCATACTCTATCACAAAATAATGCTTATTTATTGTTTCTTCAGAATGAATTAGACGTGATCGAACCGACCCAAGGAATGCCGGTGGAGGTGGCGGTCACGTTTCTACAAAGACTGGTGTCGATGGCGGATGTTTTAATTTTCGCCAGCGCCTTGAATTTCGCCGAGTTAGAAGCCGAAAAGAATATGTCCAGTGGAGGCATCCTTAGACAATGTTTGAGACTGGTGAGGCCTAAGGCTTTATTATTATATTCTTTGTTTATTTTGGTGTATAAGTTGTTTGGAAATAGCAGTTACATTTTATAGTTAACTTAGAAAAGAAAATTAGATTATAATTTTCATTTCATAGATGATTAGCGAAAAGTCGAATAAATTAATTAATAATAGCTATTGATAAGTAATAATATATAGTGCCAAATGTCAGTTGGTTATCAAAAAAGTCGAATCCTTCGTGGTACTAAGAAGGATAATGTTTTTTTTAAATCAGTCTCATCTCTATGAAAATCTATTGTTATGTTCTTTTTTAATACAATACTTTAGATATTTTCTCTCGCTTCTACTATACTAGATAGAACAAGGACAGAAAGCAATTTCCTAAAGTAAATCCTAAAGTGTCTGTCTGTAGGTCCTATCGTGATTTTTAGCTATACCTAACTTAGTCTATGATAGAGCTCAAATACTTGTAATTTTTTTAATTTTGTATTTGTATTTAATTAGAAACTCTCTCCGATTCTATACATTAAACATTTAGATTGTTCATAAAATTAAAATTTACTTTAAGAAAATATATATATAATACTCTCTAGCAACGTCGTTTATCTTTATAATTTTTTTCTCTGCCATTTAATGATTATAATTAAATATCACAAGCCACCAAGGCGACATGAGTCGGCGAGAGTTCGTACCGTAGCATAGCGTAGTATAGCGGTAGATGTAGAAACGTTCGGTGTACAGGTGTGCACGTGCGCGGTGAGGAACTGTCTCGAGTGCAAGGAACGCCAGCGATGTACAGCGCGCAACACTCGGGACTCGCCCTCGCCAAAAGTAAGCAAGCTCCTTCTGTGTTATGATCGCCTGGTACTTTGATCTCGTGGTGTGAACAAAGTTGTTGGTCCGTTCTTCTAATTAAATTGAATATTTTTTTATGTAAATGATTGTGATATTTTGATTTGATAGAATAATAATTAATTAATTAATTATGGCAACTTTTTTTTTTTTGAAGTGACCAAGATGTTAACCGTCTTAAAGCCAGTTATTTTAAGGATTGAATTGATTTACTTTCTTCAAGCTTATGGTGGTCTGGTACTTCGTTCCAGTTCAATGAACACGTTATTAAGTTTTTTTGTGAAATGACTCTAAGAAGATATTGTGTTTTTTTTTGACGACACGTTTGGCTCAGTTCGTAGTGACCCTATTTGCTGTGACAGCGGTCGCGGGTTCAAATCCCGCTGGGGGCATTCATTTGTGTGATGAGCACAAGTGTTTGTACTCCAGTCATGAGTGATATTTATAATAGGTATGCATTTAAAAAGTTATATATGTGTAGTGTATCAACTGTCTGGTATCCATAACACAAGCCTCGTAGTTTATTATAAAACATAGATGGTGCTGTGTGTTAATAATAATAATAGTAATAAATTTTATTTCAAGTAACTTAAGACTCATATTTTGTTAGTACACAAAATGCTTATATTCTAGATACGTTTTAGATACATATACTTTTACATTCAGACCAACATATTTATTTATATTTATTATTTTTAGTTGAAGTGGTTTTGTTAAATTTTGTTTAAATGCGGATAAAGAAAATATTTAAAGTCCTTGCGTCTTATAACAGCCTCGTACTTTTGATATACTTTATGACAGTATCAGTTATACTTTCTTTTTCTCCTTTTTTGCTTACGTATATATTTAGGTTTAAAAACTAATTAATAAACAAATCCCTATACGAAAGAAGTATTTAAATTTGTTCCTATATTTGTTGCTTTTTTTTTCATATACATATTTATAATTAAAAATAAACTTAAATTAAAAAATAAATAAAAACATTTAAATTATATTTATTAGGTATATTTAATAAATATTATGGATTATAAGTAAAAACTATTTAGATAAACTTAATTTGATATCTTCAGAGCGTAGTAGCCAGTTTAGCCGACGCGTCGAGTCCTGTGAAAGATCCAGAAAGATTACTTCAGGACATGGACGTGAATAGACTGAGAGCGGTCATCTACAGAGATGTTGTAAGTACAAAGTATATAAGTAATATATATTTTATGCATAATATGTTACATGTACATATGTATAAGATATGCAAGACTTGTTATGATAGGTTTTATTTAATTTTCTTAATTTACATTTGAATATTTTCGTGTATAATTGGTAAATCTCTGCGTCATTTTGTTAAAATATGTACATAATATCACTAACACTTCTTCACCCTTCAAGTTTTCAATTCAAGTATAATCTTACATTTATTAAGCCTTAATGTGTAGTCATGAAAATATGTATTTATATCAAAATTAGCAAGAAACAAAAACAAATCTATTTCACGGGAACCTTTAAATTTCCGGGAAATAAAGCCATTATGCTATTCCAGGCTATAAGATAATCTATCTCTGAGCTAAATTTCATCCAGATCCATTCAGCCGTTCTGGTGTGATTGAGTAACAAACATCAAACCAAACATTCAAATATCTAAATTTTCTCTTTTATAATATATATTAAATATTTATCAAATATCAAAATTAATGTATACAATTATAGTACTGAAACATTTATTTTATTTCATCAATCCATAAATCATTTATCACTCGTTTCCATCGTTTTACACTCGATAAATAGAAAAACTGGGAAATATGAATGCAACTAATGTGAATATTGCACACTGTACAAATCCCAGGAGGAAACGAAGCAGGCGCAGTTCTTGTCGCTCGCGATCGTGTACTTCATATCGGTGCTGATGGTGTCCAAGTACCGCGACATCCTGGAGCCGCCGGCGCACGCGCAGGCGGAGTGCGCGCGCCGCGTGCACCACCCGCACGAACACCACGGTATGTCGCATTTTACCATTTTCTACTTATTTTTTTCTTATGTAATTTATATTTTGTCCATTACGACGTTGTTATTTGGGAGTAAGGATTTTTTTATCTGATCTAACGAATATCACGTTAGATGACATTTTACTGTTTTCTACTATTATTTTTTTCATATGTAATTTACGTTTTGTTAATTACAACGTTGTTATTTGGGAGTATTTTTTTTACTATTTTAAGGTGTATTTTATGGATCTAATTGATATTGTAAAAGATTTAGCTTAGAGTAGATTTCATGAGGATTATGTAACAATATAACTCATCTGTAACGGAATTGGAATTCTGCATTTATTTTTAAGATTTTATCTCCATATTATTACGGGAAATTTATATTATTTAAATCATTTTAGATGGAAATGTTTTTTTTTTAATATTTCAGTTTAAAAAATTCTGCGCATTTTGTATTAATTTATGTTTTTGTTGATCGCTTGTAATGTTAAACCAAATTCATTTATGACATACTTTATATTATTTTTTTGTTTACATATTCCTGTCTTTATCTTCTTAATATACGTTGCAAAAATACTTTCTTAGATTTACGCGAATATTTGACATTTTAAATAAAACTATCTTTTCGGATTTTGTCGCGGATTTATTTGCATTTTTGTTTCCCGACGATTAACAAAAATTTGTTAATTGTGGGTAGGCTGTCTGTAACAACTATACATTCAAGACATGTAACACCTCAGTCTCTCCCGTGACCATGGATGCTGTAAAGCATTCGGAACGTCGGGAAACAAAAATGCAAATAAATCCGCGACAAAATCCGAAAAGATAGTTTTATTTAAAATACGTTGCAAAAATTATAATGCAAGAGCTCATTTTCTGTTTGTTAATTTAAAGAAATGTCGTTTATGTAGATTTTTAACCATTTGTAAATAATGGGCATTTTATATGCACAAAATAGGAACCATATAATATGTAACATGTATACCTACATTATTATGATAAAAAATACAATTATAAAATTAGTTATGTAAAAAGTCATATTATATCATCGAAATTTGATTACATTGTAGAATCATGTTTGCTTCTTCAATACGCTTAGTCGCACTATTTATTTTTCGAATTTCTGTCACTAATCTCTAAGATAGAGTTTAAAATATTTTTGTTCAAAGGCATCTGTAAGAAATTTTAATTACGGTCAAAAGTTGAAAGTTTGCACAAATACAAATAAAGCATTTTATATTTTAACTCTAAACAAAGTTTTTCAATACATATATATAATTAGCTCCGTTTAGACTTTGCAGATCTTGTAAAAGTTAAACACAAGAGTTAGTGTCTTCTTTTGACCGTCAGTAAGAAACACGAAACTTTAATAATTGACTTATATATCTGAAGTGGTGTTTTTCCCCTTTTTCACGCCGCTTGAAATACGCGTCACGATTTGGGACACTGGTAAAATCTACGTTACTATCACGCCACACTGCGACGACATCGACAATATTCAACACTAACACCAACCTTGAAACGTATCATTGTATATTATTTTATACACATGTTAATTTGTACACGCCTTTTTACATAACCCTAAACGACCACACCGGTTTATCAAATCCATATACCGAATTCTATCCCTCCCATCCTTATTACATTCAATCTGTTTTCGTCAATTTCTTCATGGTACAATTTCCACATAACTTCAACTCTGTCCGCAAAATTGTTCCTTTTCCCACGTATCGACCCGACGACCCCGTACCCGTCCCCTCGGGCAGCAGGGTCGCGGCCGCTGTTCCCGCAGTGGTCGCACCACGTGTACCCGCAGTTCCTGCCGGGTGGGCACCCCGCGCGCCACCCGCACTGCAAGCTCGATTGCCCGCAACACGTTACCGCGCACGCGCACGCACGCATCGCTAATTACCACCGCGCGCACGCAGGTAAACGCGGCCTGGGACGTTCGCATTACTCACGTATCATATTTCCTTCTATAATACCTACTCGATATTTTAAAATAAAACTCTCTTTTAGAATTTTTTCTTGCATTTATTTTGATTTCCAGTTCTCAACGTTTCGAATGTCTCACAGCAATCATGGTCACGTGAGATTGACACTCCCTGAGAGTCATGGTTTCTCCCCTGACGGAACGTCAGGAACCAAAAATCAACATAAATAAGTGAAAAATCCGAAAAGATAGTTTTATTTTAAAATATTTCCTTTTATTTGATAAACATACAAATGTACAGACAGTACTTTAAAGATAATTTCATTGATAGATATATTTCTAGAAAAAAGCAAAGTTCTATAAGTAAAAAAAAACTTCACACAAAGAAAAAAATATTGTGTTTTTGGTGCAAAAGAGTAACAAGCCTTGCTATGTGGCTTACATGCTTTCGAAGCTTATGTTACTCTTGAATATCGTTTGGATATTTTGTATTCATAATTGTAATGCGAACGTCTGATAAAATCAATGTGGTCGATGTTTGCTCACTCTGTTTTGTCCATATATTGTCCATAATAAATTCATATTCTTATCCCTTCATAATAGTAACTAAAAAAAATTCATTTTCATTATGTATACGTGTGTATATAAAATAATTTAATTTGCGTACCGTACGTGTATCGTACACGTTCGGTCATATCCGATAACAATAATGTGACAAAACAGTGTATATTAGCACCGCTTAGGCATCGCTGACGATTTTCAGTTTTTTTTTTCATATTATTTGCGCCACCATCTATATCTAGTGTGTGATATCATCTAGGAATTAAATGCATGTGTGAGAGTTTTAAGGTGTCATCAGAAGTGAAAGTTTTATTTTACTTCAATTTTCAATGACCATTTTGTGATTGCTTTTGTCAAATATATTCTATTTCCTATTAGTTAGGCAATAATAGATCATTTATTATTGTATAGATCACTGAAAATGTTTGTTTCAATATCAAAATTTATCAAATTTTCTAAATGTTTAAACAATTTTCAAGCACTTTTAATCTTCTATTTATAATATTGTTGAGCTTTTAAATCAATCTGTAGTAAATTAGCCTTCGTAATGGTAAACCTGCTTGAATCCTATCTGTAAAGACGAAAGTAAAAGACCTCTAGGAAATCAGTCGCTTCGTTCAAGCTTTATCTATGTAATTCAAATGGTTTATATTGGTATTTATTATTTGTATTTCTCTTTTTTTAGAACACAATGGCGATGACGTCGAATACGCCATGATTGTAGTGGACGAGAATAACTCCACTATGAACGAATTAGATTCGCCGTCCATGAAGGTAAGACTAGGATTTTTATATCGTAAAGGTTGTGTTCCATTCAAAACTAGGCATGGTAGTATCCCGACGAAATAAATTGATTTTATAATATTTTTAGACGCAAATTTGAAAATTTCATCTACTTTTTTGTAAATGTTTTTATACAATTTGTTTTGGCATAAATGTAAGGCTGACGACGTAAAGGTGCCGTTTGTCAATCTTATATTTGATTTAAATTTAAAACTTTAGATGTAATATCTCATATTAAAGATTCAGCATGCAATATCAATACATAAAGAACAAGGTAGTTTAGCAATCACGACAACTTCTTAATAACTTAGTGTTAGACGTAGGACCCTGTGATGCATGCTTCCCTCAAAATACATCAATCTACATGGTATATCGTTTAGCGATTTTCATTTGCTAATACATCGCCATTATTGGTTTTCGTTCGATTTAAATGTGACGTTTTTATCAAACGCTTTTTACATTCGTTCTTATTTTGCGGTCGCGTTTAATTAATAAAGGATGACAAGGAAGAGAGCAAAGACGTGGCCAAAATTGAGACCACCACGGACGAAGTAAAACCGAATTCCGGTGAGAAAGCCAAGATCGTGGAATTGGCGGTTACGCCGAATTCGGACAAGGAGGAACCGCTGTTCAAATCGACACTTCGCGTGAAAACTCAACCGAAGCAAAAGGTCAGTTGTGGGAGTTAGGATCGATCTGTCCCTATTAGCTTCGATTTTCGGGTGTTTTTTTTTTCAAATCTTTGGTGTCTGTTTCTAGATTGCGATGGGGTTTCTTTCCTAAATGTTAACCTTCATAGTGACATCAATAGTAATTCGGTGTTACACCTCTTTAGAACTATTAGCTTAGTACTATCCAAAAACATTAGTAACCTCCTTGCGATGAATCGTATAATTATTAATTAATATAGGAACTAAGCGGTGGCAGAAGTGTTTTAAATTATTTTTATTTTTCAAGCCGAGATCCAAAACATTGTCAGGAATAACGGTGTCGGTCGTAAACCTGGTTTGTACACGTTGTATTACACACGTTCTTAGTGTGAACACCCCACTATATGGAAGCCTGTTAATACGTTTACACTAAATTAAAATCATATTAAATAAAAAAAATATTGTATATTTTTAATTATCAGAGAAAATTATAAAAAAAATGTATCTCGATGATTATAAAATGTAAAAAAAGTAGATTAAATTATATAATAATAAAAATTGTAAAGAAATGTGTAGGGATTTGGTATTAAGGGCTTCCTGACGTCAACCACGATCAATTCACCAGTTTTAAGAACACGGGCTTGTCATACGATTACACAACAATATTATGTGAAATATCTTCAAAATAAGCTAACGCTACGCTCACGATATGATATTGTACATAAAACATAATATGTATTTATTACACTAGCTATTTAAAATATATCAATTTTAGTCACAAGCACTAACTACACTAAGTTTGATAAGTTCACGTGTTATATACGTTCTGTAATATACAAAATATATGTAGCGAAGTTATTTATTTAGAAAATATATCAATATCGACTATATATTATAAATATGAGTATACTTAAGTTGGAAAAATGTGTCATAAACGTATTATTCGCGATTTCTTTTAGAAAATTGTATTTAAACGTCTTCATGTAAAAGACCAAAAAAAAAAATCTGTAATCTTAGTTAACCCCACTAAACTAACTTTGAATTTTCCAATCTAGTTTTAGATTTACCTTGTATAAAAAGTAAGATTACTAGACTTTTCTTAAAATTGTAATTCAATTGTGTTTTGTACTGTTTTTTATATTTATTAATTTATATCATTATGTATGTATGTATGTTTTTTGCATGTGTACGCTTTGCTTGCTTCTTCACCTATACCTAGTTTGCATGATTTTATATCACCTGTATCACTCTAACCTCCTTCTATGTGTCGTGTGTCACATGATCACTTGAATACTACTTGCTTAAAACTAAAATACGTTTTATGAAAATATAAATGTTTAAGAATAATGAAGTTAATTAAAAAAAATTGTTTTTGCTTTAAAAAAAGTATATATGTATTTGTTAACCTAAAGATTTAGATGACGATATCTTGTTATTAATTTTGACATTTTGATTTACATATTTTATATTTATACTTAAATTGAAGTTATTTTATCTGTATATAGTTCCTATTAAATAAATAGATGGCTTGGTTAAATAATAACAAATTTAACAGAGTGTGGACTCAATCGAAGACGCAGGCTCGTTCCACCTTAATTCCACTGAGACTACCAACAACGACCCCGAGACGTCTAGTGAGATCGCTTTAGATGACAACAAACTCCCGGTAAGCGACAATTACATAGAGTATATTGTATTTAACCCTTTTTAAAGTCCCACTGCTGGGCATGGGCCTCTCTGCTTTGAAGATTAGGGAAACCAAATGTTGAAAATAAATAGCACATAAGAATATCAGAATTTTTGAGACTCAGAATTTGAACTCGTTTCAACTGGTTTTCAGTGAGCGTTACTACTGGGCTGTCACAGTGCTAGAATTATATAAATTATAAGTATTCTGTATTATTCGAGGTATATAGGCAATGTTTTCATCTAAATCAATCAATCTAAATGAACAAAAACAAAGGCACAGCCGTGCCATCATTTCCTCAAAGGCATTCAGGACATTTTCGACCTGCCCTGTAAATTCGTTGTGGATAAAGCTAGAAGCCCGAATTTTCAGTGACTAAGAGGACGTAATATAGTTAGGTATATTTTCAATTTTCAGGTAAGCAATGACGAATCTTGGACTGACGTGAACCTGAATGAAGACGGCGAGAGAGGTCCCGCCACAATCACTGGACGAACAAGGGATCACGAGGGAAACATACATGAAGGTAATCACATTAATAGTTTTATAAGTGTTTTTATTACTAAATCACGCTTTTACGGCTAAATTCACACTGAAATTCAAAAGGGATCACTTATGCCCTGAATCGAAACATGGGCTAATTTTAACAAAGTATTTTTACGGTGGACAGAGCTGCGGGCAATTACGGGTGTTTGTTGAAGAAATTTGCTAATATTTTATTTATTTAAATAAAGAAAATTCACTGATTTTAACAAGTTGTTTATTAGTAGGGAAGATAGTTTTGAAGAAAAAAAAATTTGGGATTTTCGGAATTGTACAAAATTTGACTTAAATAAAGTCAATAATAATACCACATATTTATTAATTTTGTAGTATTGTGATATATCGATATCGTATTTAAAAAAAAATCTTTAAAATGTTTTAGATATCGACAAAACAATCCACATGCGAGGCTCCGAACACCATCACCTCTCGCAGCGACATCAGAGCAGGAGCCTGCAGACGGCGCAACGACACTTGCACCCCGTAAGTTACAGTTTAGCTGACAATATTTGTTTTATATATTATTATGTTTTACACTTGTCATAAATCTATCCCACGGGAAATGTACATTTTGTCCGAGAAAGAAGGTACCTATGTGCTGCGTATTTCAGACTAATCTATCTCTGTGCCAAATTTTATCCAAATCCGTTCAGTCGTTCTGACGTGATTGAGTAACGAACATCCATCCATCATCCAATCTTTCGCATTTATAATATTAATAGGGATTAAAATGTACTTTTTAAACCCACTTCAGAAAATTAAAGTTATGTTCGTACTATTTCATTGTTCTATTTTAAATCAATAGATAATTTTACAAGGAATTTATAAGTATGTATATATAAATTACAAGAAAAAAATCTAAACGTGGAAAAAATATTTTTGAGTGATTTTAAGTCGGCATACTTTTTCACATCGTTGAATAGGCATTGAAGCTCTCTTAAAAATATTGTACGTTAACAGGAACTTTTTAATAAATGAAGCTCACTCGAATGCTCCCTAGGTATACACACGTAGCGTTTGTTACAGTTTAATAGATCCTTTTAAGAGGAATAATTCCGTAATACATTGTTTTCATATAACTCTATTGGTTTATGTGCCGTGATTCTTCCCGACATCTTCAACAATTAGCATCATATTTCTGCCAATTTAAAAACTCTTTTTTAATGAATTATACACCTAAACCTCATGAATCACTCCGTCTATTGGTGAAAACTGTATGAAAATCCGTTCGGTAGTTTTTGAGTTTATCGCGTTTTATAATCTATAGAGATGTAAAACCACATACAAATTCAAAATATTTTATTCAGAATTAAGTTATTCCAATTTTTTACTGAACGTCATGAGTCTACTACCAATTCGGAAAGAAGAAGCCTCAGACCTAAGAAGAACTGCCGAAAGAAACTCAGCGGGACTAATATTTGCTCGTTATCTTTTTTTTAATATAATATATTTTAATAAATTTTACATATTAATATATTTTATACTATACCTCCTTTCAGGACAATGAGACGTTAGCCGGCCTCGCCATGAACACGATGTCGGCCGACGGTGTGTCCAGAGAGGCTTCTCTGACCCACAAACTGGAGACCGCTCTCGGACCAGTTTGTCCTCTACTCAGGGAAATTATGTTGGATTTTGCTCCTTTCCTATCAAAAACCCTCGTCGGAAGCCATGGACAGGAACTGCTTATGGAGGGTAAAGGTTGGATGTTATAAGCATGCTAGCTTGTATGTTTTGTTATACTAATACTTATTTCATCTTATATTTAATACGCAATAGTATACTTACTAATCATATTATGAAGCGTTAATTTTTATTTTAGTTATTTGTTTCCTTTACTTCGTGCCGATGTACGTTATTACGTACCATATCTATATTGTAATAGTTAAACTTGTGCCATTAACAAACACTAAACACCTAATTTTACTATTTTTTTTCTTTTCAAGCTTCCACTAATTATATTATGCTAAATTGCATCATAAATAGAAAGCTTATTAACAAAAAACATTTACAACCAAAATATAACCGGCCACCTCTACCTCCCACCAGGTCTCCAAACCTTCAAGTCCAGCACGTCAGTGGTGGAGCTGGTGATGCTGCTGTGCTCCCAGGAGTGGCAGAACTCCCTGCAGAAGCACGCGGGGCTCGCCTTCATCGAGCTGATCAACGAGGGCCGCCTGCTGTCGCACGCCATGCGCGACCACATCGTGCGCGTCGCCAACGAGGCCGAGTTCATACTCAACAGGATGAGGGCCGACGACGTGCTCAAACATGCCGATTTTGAGGTTAGTATTTGTTTTACATATTTAAAATAATTAAAATTTAGTAGGTTTTGGTTAGTCAAATCAATGTTTTCAGAAGACATATGACAATCCTATTTGATTATGTTCAAAACTAAAAAAAAATATTTAGTAATTTTCCAAAATGTAAAAATGGGAGAGTAAGAGGTTTGATTATTTTTACTGACAATGGGGAGGGAGGAAGGTGTCAATAATTTTCTAAAATGTTGCTTACGTAATACTCGAAGAGTCCCTTTGGTTTTAACAAACGTCACATATCGAGGCCACTTTTTGGAGAGGTTTTTGTTAGAAATCTGGTCTAAAATGTGTATGTAAGTTTTTATGTATCAACTAATAATTCAATCTCACTTCGCTCGAGTTCGTCGCTGGGAATGTCTTAACGGTTAGTATGGAATAGGTAGACTATAATATACATAGGTACTATAACGTGTTTTCCCGTGGTCGCGGTAAAAAATAGCCTATGTTGCTCTCCCAGCTCTTCAACAATATCTACACAAAAAATATGCCAATCTGTCAGTCTGTTTCGATGTGAAAGAACAACAATCACACTTTCACATAATATTAAAGTATGTATATATAACGGTGTGCATATGTCCCCGTGTCGCGCAGTGCCTGTGCGCGTCGTCGACGGCGGAGCGCGCGGAGGAGGAGCGCGCGTGCGAGCGCCTGATCGCGGCCGCGCGCCGCCGCGACGCCGCCGCCGCCGCGCGCCTGCTCGACAAGCTGCACCACGCCGCCGCCGCGCGCGCCGGGTACGCACGCACGCACGCGAACTTTTTATTATATCTTTATAAATTTCACTTCACTCGATCAGTTCGATGGTATTAAATTGTTGTCTTGTCCTTTACATTATAGTTACCTACAAAGTTTTAAATCTATACAACGAAAGTACTTAAAATTTCTAAAATTTGATTATATAGTAAAATTTACTTGAAATTGGTGTGAAACTACAGAAAAACGTGACATTTTTAAGTATTATATTTTATATACGCAAAGTACTCATATTTTAAACTTATCATACAAATTTTAAGCACAAATATTTTAAAGAAGTCACTACCCTTGTCCAACTCTATATAAAATAGGTTTCAATTAGAATTGTTTGTTAATAATCATGTCATTCTACTTATTATGTAGTACTAGTGACTCGCTTCACTCGGGTTCCTCCCTAGGTACGTTTTGACGGATAGTATGAAATAGAAATCTTTGAATTCCTCAACTTTTGTGTACTATAATATGCATGTATTATACATATAAACCTTCCTGTTAAATCACTCACAAAATATTAAAAAAACCTGCATCCGCAATCCGTTGCGTAGTTTTAAAGATGTAAGCATACATATGAACAGACACACAGCGGGAAGCGACTTTGTTTTATACTATGTAATGATGCGTATTGCCTGCACCGCAGCGTGAGCTCGAACACGTCGATCGACGGCGGGTTCTGGAAGCTGGACTCGTGGGAGGACGACGCGCGCCGCCGCCGCCGCCTCGTGCCGGACGCGCGCGGCCGCCGCCACGCCGCGCGCGCGCGCGCGCTGCCGCCGCCGCCGCCCGCCGACGCCATACTGCAGGTAGCTACGCCTCCCACCCCCTCCCCTTGTCTCTCCTTCTCTTTCCCTCTCTCACTTTCCTTCTCTTTTTCTATATTGTATGCTTATGTATTATTTGTTTGTTTGCTTTCCATTTATGAAAGTATTCGGTTTAGTAGCTGACCCAGCATAATCGTGAAGGGTTCATGTAAAAAAAGTTACTTCAGCGTCGACGCGTATTATAATCGACGTCGTCTGCGCACATCATTACGCTTATAGACTAAAAAAGTACAGATTACTTTTGATCGATGTAAAAGAATGACAATCACGCGTTGACAAACTGTTAAAAAGTCATTCATACGAGTACAACATAAGTAGACTAAGCGAAGAACTACGTATGAATGCATACCATATGCAGACTATCTTATAATATTATGTTAATTAATAAAATTAATAAAATTTAACATCAATATTTAAAACTGCAACTCATGAATTTCGCACCGGCTCTTCTCAGCAGAACTGCTTTACGAGCAAGTGGTAGCTTCCTCACGGACAAACTACATTGACACTTTTTATATTAAATTGACGATTCAAAAGCGCTTATAACAAGTCTATTTAAATAACGTTTAATTTTATTTCATTTATGTATGTGTATGTTTGTATGTTGTGTGTTTGTGTCAGGCGACGGAGGAGCTGCACGCGCGCATCGCCATGGCGGCGGGCGGCGCGCAGCTGCCGGCGCCGGCGGGCGAGCTGCTGGACGACGCCGAGCTGCTGCTGGACGAGCGCGACGCCGACCAGGACCTCACCGGTACGTGCTCGCACTCCCCTCCCTCCCTCTCTCTCTCTCTCTCTCTCTACGTCTCTTAGCCAAATACGTTGCTTGGACATTATTGTTGCTTTTTGACCCACTTTAAAAAAAAGAGAAAGTATTCAGTTCGAGTGACACGAAATACTAATAAATATTTTCTATTTTAAATAGACTAATTTTCTCTATATTCCGATCTATACCATATTTCGGCAAAGTGATATGTATATAAAACAGTTTAAATTATTTGTCTATTCATAGCAGATAATATATGTATGAACTTCCTGTACACTGTACAGTGATCATACTGAAATTATTTTTTGTGACGCCTGATACTTTCTTAGTTAGACGCCTGATAAATATTACGTAGCAAACCCAATAATTGAAAATTTTAGAATATTATTTTTCTAGGTGTTCTTAAATATTTTTTCAAATCATATTATTAATTTATTATAATTACAAATATTCTAAGTATTTTCAGTTTATGTAATATAAATTATTAATGTGCACACTTATGTTTGATCATTTATGTAAGAAAATTAAAACATTTATCTAATTAAAACATTCATACGTCTATATTTTCTCGCTTCGCTCGGTGCATCCTAAAGCGAGTAACAGCCTATATAGCCTATGTATTACTTCAGATCATAATCTATAAACGTAATGAATTTCCTCAAAATCTATCCAGTCGTTTCAGTGTTAAGTAGTAACAAACATACACGATTATATGTGATATCGATACACGATATATATATATATATATATATATATATATATATATATATATATATATATATATATATATAATCTGAATCTCGAAAAAATTTGTATACAAGGGTTTCGGGGGCGATAAATCGATCTAGATTAGTCTTATGTTTGGGAAAACGCGTGTTTTCGAATTTTCATGCGATTTTCTTTTGCATTATTCCACGCAAAATATTATATTCGATAATTTCGCACGCTCGGATATAAGCATCATGGTCAAGCGGCCAAGGCACAAGATTGAATAAGTGTCCGGATTCTTAAAGAAATTTTTCAAAAGAAAATTGTACATTTTAAGAGGATTGTGAACCTGTAAATTTTCATACAAAAAGCGATAACGTTTTTCCCCCCTTAAACATAGTCTAATTTTCATAATTTTTGGAAATGTTGTAGATATAATCAAAATCTAGGTCCGTACGTTTTTATTTTTTTGAAATATTGCGTACGACAGAAGTTATTAGCATCTAAATATCTATATTTTTGACCTAAAAACTTCCTCCAGCGTTTTTATTTTTTTAAATTAAACTAAACTGAATTACAAAAAAAGGAAAACGTACAGACCTAGATTAAGGTGTACTGAATCTAATGAGACCAAAATCGTCTCATTTCGTTAATGTTTAGGGGGGTGAAAACGTTATCGCCCGAAACAATATTTCAAAAAGGAAATGTAGGTAATTGAGTCTAAGACTTGCAACTCTCTCTATCGCACCATACGGGTCGGGGGCAGGGGCATATTTTAGACTGTAGTGATGTTGAAGGTGCTATCGATATTATTATCTCCTAGGGAGGAGAAGGTAATATCGATATATCGATCGATACTGAAAGGATTCAATCCAAAGTTTAGAATTTTATTATACTCGTAAGATTGTAACTAAGCCGTATCTGTACATTAAATATTTTTTGGAAAATATTATTGAAATAAACATTATTATCGATACAGAGGCCGAATCTATAGTTTTTTGAATTTTTGTCTGTCTGTCTGTATGTCTGTCTGTCTGTTACCACGTCACAGAAAAACCACTGGAGGGATTTTGATGAAATTTGGTATGGTGGTAGCTGGTTATCCGGATCAACATATTATAGCATTACCGCGGGAAAATATATCATTTCTGAGAAAAAATACAAAACTGAAAATATATAAATATATATATATATATATATATATATATATATATATATATATATATATATATATATATATATATACAGGGTCATTTTTAATTTACTGAAGACCTTTTGGGAATATACTATTTACATCATAACAACAACCTTTGTAACAAGAAAAAAAAAATTTCTTAAATTTTCAGTTTCATACAAAAATAAAAATATTTTCTATATCATCATCATCATTATATCTGGCCAAGTTTGAATGAGTAAGGACCACTTCCTACACCCCTCGCCCTCCACCCCTCGCCCACCACCGGTCACGCGCTTTCTTTTGCTAATTGCTGGACTATTACCGTTTAGAAGGAGCAATAAAAATACTTTTATTTTTGTAAAATTTATATTTTTAATTCTATATTCGTTATAATTTATAATATTCGTTATAATTTTATGAAAATTATTACGAATAGTATGTGTATAATTATATATATATACACATACTATTCGTTATAATTTTTTCGAAATTATCGATATTTTATTAGTTTTTGGAGTTAATTTTATTGATTTTTCTGAAAAAAATGATTTTAGGGCAATTACAGAAAGAAATGAAAATCATTCGTAATCTAATCTTGTTTATTCATTAGTTAAAAATATATTTTAAAAAATTAAGTTGATATATTTTATAAAATTTAGTCATAGATATGTTAAAAAATCGTAAATCATCATCATTCATGATCAGGTCATTTTATGAATTTCTATTCGTTATATACCTGCTAACATTATAAAATCATAAAACTTCAGGTTTTTTAATAAAATAATTATTTTAACAATAAAAGGATTCCGATGGGTCTATTAGTACCTACATAAACAACAAAAAATTCTATAACTTTCAACTTTTGGAACGAGATTTTTGTAATTGATCTAAACCACCTATTTATTTTTTTATGATTTTTTGAAGTCATCAATCTAAACAAGTCAAATTTTAAATGATATTCGCCACAGAATTGTAATTTAGAGTTATTTCAGTTTATGAATAAAGGTGCGATGTAACTTGTAGGGAATGTATATTGTACGCAAACCGTTAAAATAATAAATATTAGATAAACTTTGAAATTGCTCTTGCGCCGAGTCGCGCCGCCCCCGCCCCCGCCCCCCGCAAGCGCCCGCGCGTCACCGGCTGCTGCTATCATAGTGTGTGTGAGAATTTGCGTATGTTGTATTTGTGTTGTTCACTGCCGGGGGGATGCAAAGCGGTATGAAACAGATAGCATTTTTAAAAATACCTACTCTCGCCGCGTATCGGCACTTCACAATCCTCTTAACCAAAAACTCCGAGCGAAGCTCGGTGGCCCAAGTACTATATATAATAGGAGTCCGTTTTGTTTACAAAAATCTAAGCTTATTAAATGTATGTTTAAAAATATAGCATAATGTAATAACTTGCAGGGCCAGTGAACATAAGCACGAAGGCTAAGCTCGTGGCGCCCGGCCTGGTGGCGCCGGGCACGGTCTCGCTCACCTCCACCGAGCTGTACTTCGAAGTGGACGAAGACGATCCAGAATACAAGAAAATAGATCCTGAGGTAAGCTATTTCTGTTTTGAAAATTATCCATACTTCCATACTTAATATTATAAATAGGAAATTGTGTTTGTTTGTTTGTCCTTATTTCACGCTGAAACAGAGTGGCGGATTGACGTATTTTTTTTTTTGTGTGTAGATAGTTTGAGGGCTGGAGAGTAACAAAGGCTACTTTTTACTGCGGGAGATTATCTCATTCCCACGGGAAAACACGTTATAAAACAACCCAAAAAAATATTTAAGATCAGAATTACTTGAAACTTAGTAGTAATGCTCTTCAATACAATTAAATAAATACGTATTTTAGCATTTTTCGAAATTCATCCCATAACGGGGTAAAGTAGGGGATGATTTGTATGAAACCTACCTTTTTCAGTTATTTTTGGTTTAAATCATTTCATTAGTAGGTATTAGAACTAGTGACCGCCCTTGATTTGCTCGGGATCGACACTAGTAACGTTTCAACGGTTGGTATGGAATAGATAGTGGATTTCTTGCTTTGTGAAAACAAATTTTATCCCACGTGAATCGAACATTTTTCCGGGATAAAAAGTAACCTACATACTATTCCAGACTGTAATCTATCTCTGTGCCAAATTTCATCAGAATCGGTCCAGCCGTTTGGCGTGATTGAGTAACAAACATCCATCCAAACTTTCGGACTTATAACATTAACGGGATGATGATGACCATGACCACGGCTGGTGCAAACCATTCCAGCAGCAAGCAATAAAACAAACAACAAATGTCGGGAACTAGGCATTTTGCCACTTGCAAGTAATATACATAATATATGTATGTGAGAAATCTCATAATGTTATTTGATATAAGTGGTTTATACCTAAAAAAATATAGTATAAAGAAATAGGATACTTTCAGAGAATTAACATCAATAAGACTGTTATGTTATTTATGTTGCTCTACTTAAAGATGTTTTTATTATTAATAAGTTTAATTTTATAAGGTTATTTTATTTCTGTACTAGAATCGGGTTATTTTGTTCTGTCTTTCCTAAAATATTTTGTGTCATAGATTATGATAATAAAATCATCAATTTATGCATATCGAATATCGATTCATAATTCAAACGATTAATTTTATTATCTCATAACTAATCTTAAAATTGACAAATTAAAATAATGCAAAACTATATCAAAATAGAATAAGCTAATATCGGATTTGTTTCAATGCCTTAGTACTTGGACAATGCCAGCTAATCGATATTCTTGTATAATAATCTCGAATGTATTCAACCCTTCTTAACGTCCCACTGCTCGGCACGGGCCTTCCTTCAACACGAGGGGGATCAGGTATAGTCCACCACGCTGGCCAAGTGAGCGGACTGAGCATGTCGAAAACTCACTAGGTTCTCTCAGACATGCAGGTTTCCTCACGATGGTTTTCCTTCACCGCAAGACAAGTGGTAATCATGTTAGAAATGATTCTCACATGTAAATATCAGACATGTGAGACCCGGGATTTGAACCTGCTGAACTCTATTTTAAAAGCACGTACATAACCACTGGACCTATGTACCTCATATAAATAAAAAAATAACCTCATCATAAAAACAAGTTGTTTATAAACATACGGCTTAATGGGATCGAACACCACTCGCCAGGTATTATACGTTAATACAATCCACGAACAAACATTACGATGAAAATATTAATATTACAACACATTAATGATCTTTAAAATAAATTCTCTTTTTATTGCTTTATAAATAAAGTTTTTTCAAAGAAAAAAAGTATATATAAACATATTGGTATGACAAAGGGGATATCAAATAAGGTGCGACGTTAGATCTTTGTTCGGTTATTTATTGAAGGTTCGTGTTTATTCAAGAAGTAGTAAAATGAAAATTATGTCGTTCTCGACGCGATCCAAATGATGTAATACTAGAACGCTTTGCCAAGGAAATATTTCTCTTATAATAACTGGCTTAATGTTGATTTTGACAGCGTGTTGCCGTGATTTAGGGATGTTTGTAAACGGATGGGAGTGAGATATCGATAGCGTGTATACGCGTGTTATATAGCCGGGTAACCGAATATGAGGCAGTTTGAACGTATGAACAATGCAGCCCCGCGGCGCGCTGGCCCACGAGGCGCCATGCTAGTGATGGGCATAACTAACATATAATTATATCGATACGATAAATATTAATATTAACATGCATTTTTCATAACGTCATTTTACTGAGTTTAAAATTTCGTTTCTATTTATATTGTTACTGTTTGGTACAGTATTTAATTAACACTTAAACGAAAAATTGATTATTTAATATTATTATTTCCATTGAGATCCTTAAATTAAAAAGATCTCGCGTACTATTCTTAGTAATTCAAACCACAATACAAAAATTTTAAAGGGATTAATAATATATATAGTTTATCGATGATAATAATTAATAAGTCGATCGGGTCTAGTTCTCAGCGGTGTGTGGCTCGAGCGGTCAGAGCGCGACAGCGGGACAAAGGCGCCCCGTCGCGGGGGGTGCGCGGGCCGCATGCTACATGCATCACGCGTCCGTTCCTAGAACTAACCTCGTATACAACTTACGTACCATGAAAGCCGTACCGTGCAAAGATTTTGCCTTAGAAAATGAAATTTAGGGCAGTTTTTCTTTTATTAAGAAAGATTTGTAGAGAAAAATAAAAGTTAGAAGAAAATTTAATGTTTAAGTTAATTTTGGTCACGTCCTTGGAAATATTTGAAATGTGTTCTTCACCTTTTATAACTTTATGTTTGAATACAGTACATAATATTTGTACGACATGTAATGCAGATTAGAATCACGTCGTTATAGGTTCTAGTTAAAAATGCAGATACAAACTAAACAAAAAATTAACAAGTTTTCTCTAATTTATACTGATTTTTTGTCTGTTTGTTTGTCGATGTTTAAGTCCACGTCTAAATTCGTTTGTGATAAGTCAAATTATTATTATTTACTAACATACTTGTAACAATTAACATTAGTGATGCGAAATGAAACTGCAATTTACCTAATCGATTAATCTATTACTAAAATACGGTTTTGGCTCAATTTACTATTATTTATAGCATAAAACAAAATATTAAGTGCATGTTATTAATCGATATACATAAATAAATGGTAATTTCAATAGTTATAATATATTGTATTGTTAAATGTTTCCATGCTAAGTGTCGTTCGCCATGGCATTGAACAAATCCGCCATAGATATCTGATTTTACGTCTGGTTGTGGTCTGCGGATAGTGGAGTGCCATTACTTCAGTAATGTTACGATTATATTAGCTTAAGGCAATATTTGCTTTGCTGTCTTAAATGAAATGAATTCATCGCTCCGCTATGTGAATTATGGCGGGTTCAAGGTGTGAGATGGAGAGGATATTGTATATATTTTTTAATATTTATATATTACTAGCGGACCCGACAGACGTCCTGTCTACACGTCTTTAATTTGAAAATTTCAAACTTTTTTTAGTAATTTTTTTGATGAAAATTATTATTCAAATTGTGAATCTAAACCATTCCCAGATCCCCTTGAACACACACAAAAAATTTCATCAAAATCGGTCCAGTCGTTTGAGAGAAGTTCAGTGACATACACACTCACAGAAGAATTATATATATAATAAAGAAGATTTGTAAAAGTGAAGATTTCGCAACAAAAACAAGTTTTTGGTTGTAAGGTCATTCCTTAAATTTATTTAAAAAATCATCATTCTTATATATTTTATGAGTTATTTATTATATTGAAACCGTAAAATCTATACTTATATCTAGTATAGCTAAATTAGAATTATATTATACAGATCAATGTACAGGCTTGTTTATTTCTTATCTCTTAGACCACAAGGTTATTATCCGAACTGTTTTCGAGATATTATTTACTGCGACTAATTCAAACGGCTTCAGAGATTGTAAATTGAATTCGTAATGGGGCATTTTATTTGTTTATGCTAATACACAGTTTTAATTAAGCGTGTCGTATATGGGTGGCGAGAGCGGGACAAAAACTACGGAATTCAGGCTATGCGATATAAAAACTAACTGATTTATTTTACCGTGCGTCATTATTGAAAGTCAGATAAATTAATAATAGTTTCTTGTTAGTTTTATGGCCATTTCGAATTGTGATGTTTTTTCTTAATTTTAATCTACATTTTAAAGTCGTTCGTTTACATTAATGTTCGTTGTTTGAATTGTTCGATAACAAATCACTAATATTGATGCGGTGTCAGATTTAATGGCGTGTACACTTGTTACTATTGTAAAGTTTAATTAATTAATTATTTATCGCAATATTTTTATATCTGATTATTTTATACTTCTTTTTATAATATCACCTCCAGGTAAATTTGTAAGAAATTAATTAAAATTCTAAGAAATCTATTGTTAACTGACACGCCGGCGTATCCGCGGTCGTGGAGGGATTAAATAAATAATTTAAATTATATACTGTACCTAGATACTAATTAATATATAGATTAATTATTATCTAGGTGCAGTATATAGTTTAAATAAATGAATATATATAACATATTATCATTATATGTATACTCATTTACCTACTTTAATTAAGTTTACAGACTATATAAGAAAATTCAAAGAATATCCTGAGTAAACAGATAAATTATAAATTTAGTAACCATTTAGTTCCTATGTTTTTGCTTTCTTTTTTTTACGTCTATGACGTGCCCGTGATAGATCGGTACTACCCGAGCTTTCCCACGTCATCGATGACGCCGCCCATCAAAAATAAACACATTACGTCACTCTGACAGCTCCCGGAATACTTGACACGTGTCATCATAGTCAAAGATTTATTATGGATTTATGTCAAACAAATTTATACTGTAACACTTCGGTATAAGTGATTTTTTGTATTTTAACAACACGTAGGAAGTTTCTTCGTGTTTTTATATTCCCCATGCACGGCATACGGTGCCTACCTGTCGTTTCTGCATTATATTTAATGTTTGATTTCAAAATACGATAACAACCGCATCTCTATACGACAGTAGAATGTGGACAGGACATTAAATATCCAGTTATTTTATAAACTACCACAAATATAATTGCCTATTTTAATTTTTAACGCTTGTTTTAATCGTGGGAGGGTAATTCTTAATTTTAGTAATCATTAGTAATTTACATATGAAAGTATTCGTAATTATTCTTAAGAATTAATATTAGATCTGGAATTTTATAGTTTTTAGTTATGTTTTAATGTTTACTTTTATTATCTGTAAGATTATTCAAGCAAAATTAAGACACAAGAAGAGCATACATATATAAAAAAATATATTCTAATTAATTTTCAATTTATGATAACCTCAGTAAGAGATTTTAATTTTTTAATAAAACTTCAATATTTTGCAAAGTCTTATCCACGCTACTCTCACAAACACGCCTCGTTAACCGATCCGTCTGTCCGTCAGTGGCGATTCCTATTCACGAGCGGTGTGGCTTGCATGCAGGAATTTAGGCGCCAGATGTACGATAAGAACCTCCCGCAGAGCCACTATCTCTTGCCTTATCGATCTATCGATAACGCTTGTTTCCCATCACTACACTCCTGTTGGGATAACTTGATTGCCAGTATTTTAGATATCCCATTGTTTGTCTAAGCATTTATTCGGTAGCGTTATGTTTGTTCACATTATATTAAACTAGTAGTATTCTTGAAATAGTTTCTGTTTCCTGTGATAATGATATTTGAGGCTAAGAATTGAACTGTTGTACTGATGAAAATATTAAATTTTATAATCCCATGGCTGTATCTAATTATTCTGACCAAGTGCAGGCTGATGGACTTCCCAATTCACATGTCTTTCAAAAACTAGTTAAGTTTTCTTCGATATGCAGATTACTTTACGGTGTTTTTCTTCATCGTAAAGCTCGCTGAAAATATTTCTGACGCGTAAATATCTATCAGGGATGCAAGTTCCGAGGTTTGAACTTGGTGCTTTACCACTACTATTATATTAAGCCATTCTATATTATTAATAGAGAAAAATATCACGAACGGCGGTAAAAATAGCCTAAGTTACTTTTAGGCTACGATAGGAGCAGCTTTGTATTGTTCCGTAAAATATGTACCTTCTATAAATGTGTACGATATGCTCCTTTTTTTCTAAGTAGGTACAATGGAAATTGATAGATTATAAATAAATATGTTGGGACATTTACACACAGCATCATGCAGTTCAATGATCAGCTACGAGACTTATGTCATGGATACCAGATAGTTGATGTTTAATTGGAGTACAAACATTGGTGCTCATCACACAAGTAAATGCCCCCAGCGGGACTCGTACCCGCGACCGCTGGCACAGCAAGTAGGGCCACTACAAACTGAGCCAAACGTGTCGTCGAACTAGATGTGTACATAAATTCATGTAAAGGTAAATAATAAATCTAAATAACATGCAACTTTTTTTCGTTAATATAAAATTTTGTTTAATAGAAAAAGTAAATATGTACATATTATTTAAAATTGGTTATCAAAGTTCTGTTTTACATTAAAGTTATACCGGGATTAAATTAAATACACTTTACAAGTCATATTTTAAGAACCCGAGTTTTTAAGCCACGATTTAGTCGATGTTTAAAATAAACACGAATAAATCATCGATATTCGTTCAAATGAGTCGCCGGGTGCGCTTATTATTCAAGCCTAATTACCAGGGCTACATACCGCGGTGGGAGATCTACAAACATGTTAGGAATCCGGACTAAGCCCCGGGGCGCCAAATAAGCTCGCAGTGACTGTTTACATTGCGCGTATCCGTTACACCCCCAATTTAATTTTTTCGGTGAATTTGCCATTTAATATTTTTCCTTTTTATGAGTCGTAAAAACTCTAAATAAGCTTAATATTCAGTTAAAAAATACGAATGAATGCTGAATAGTATGTAATGTAATTGGGTTTGGTCTTTATTTTGCTTACGTAAATAAAAAAATTAATGTTTTTGTAAAATATATAGGTACCTATGACTTGTTTTTTTTGGAATTTCTTTAAAAATATTTAAAAATCTCTTCAAAACTCTAAACTCATAGGGGAACGGTATTCGAGGTATCTCATGTTAATCTAATAGGCTTGTAAGTAATATATAACTTATTTGTAAGTAACCATAGTAATAATGTCATAAAGTACTAGCTTCTAATCCTTGCTTCGCTCGGGTGCGTCCTAGGTACGTTTAAATTTTTTTGAGCGAAATCCTATTCTTTTTTGTGAAATAAAAGTAGCCTAAGTAACTCTTTACAACATCAGCTATCTGCCAGTGAAAGTCCCGTCACAATCGGTCCAGACGTGTCGGAGATTATCCAGAACAAACAGACAAAAATATTAAAATTTGTGTTTTTCTTATAAACATCGTAAAAAAATACATGTATGCATTTAGTAAAATTTTAACTTTACAAACAACCACTTCAATTTTATCTATCTATATAGATTAGGTACTGTTTAAATGCAGAATTGATATCCAGTTGAAATTATACTCTAATAATGCTGTAAAATGCAATGTGTAAAATTGATTAAGTTCATTCATAATGAATATACACGAAAACTAACAAATTTTATTAAGTAATAATATAGATAAATAATCGTTTAAAGCAAAAAC